ACTATACTGTTTGGTAATTAAAGGGGAAAAAACTTCAGAAATATGTGCCATCAAGTCATTTCTGTTGTGTGGTGACTATATGAGTTAATGACTTCCAAAATACCATGTCATTAACAGCATGATAGCAGGATGATAATCTGCTTTATTCTATTAACTATCCAAGGTGATTTTTTTTTGGAGGTGGAGCTTATGTTATAAACTGTTTTGGGCCACATGTTCGGAGATCTGTTCATAAGATTTTAAATATATATTTCACAATTCACCAGGCTTTCTACTTGTCTTGCAATCTATAATACTAGTATTTACTTACATCTCTAGGAACAAGTCTAGAGAGAATGGGGCATTGCACTGCTATATTTTATTTTCTTATTAAAGCCTTAATGAATTTCTATTGGGAATCTTAAAAGTCATAAAATATCTGCATGTGCAAATAATATAGAAAAGTTGGAATGCAGTGCTGAAACATAGAACATCAAGGTTTGGAGAGGTAGCTTTCCTAATCCTCCCTTGTGTGCTTTATACAGTTTATGTCCTGAAGAGGTGAATATTTCTTCAATATTATTGGAATAAAGATAGGTTGGTCTATAAAGGGTCCATATCTTGATCGTTGAAATCATACCTAGATCCTGGTTGATGATATTTAGCAATGATTAGCAGCAACTTCCATGTTTTGACGTTCTTTTTCACAATCTTCAGGACATAAACTTCTTTAGAAAGGAAAGTTGGGGGGAAAGGCAACTTTTTAGAATTACTGAGCATTGGTTAGTGCAGTTCATCAACTTGGTTTCCTTCACCGAGGCAACATCTTAAGGCCACGTTGGAAAAAAAGTTTGGCTTCCTAACTGCTATGGTAGAGTTGCATGACAGTTCTGGGTCATTTATCATGTTCTTTTTAGCCTGCCAAGAAGAATGTACACTGGTTAGTTTGGAGGGGGGGGTCTGCTAATACATAGTGCACCAGTGATCGTTTTTCAGATTTTGGGTCTTTCCAGGATAACGTTGCGGGGAAATAGAGGGAGGCTGGTTCCCTTTCAGCATTTTCAAAGGTCAGCAGTGACATTGTTTGCCTTGTCTTAGTGCCAGCATTGGGGGAAATTATATGCAAAAGTGTTTTTCCAAAGAAATTCACATGAGAATTTTAAAGTATTTCTATTTGGCGTAACACTAAAAGATAAGAGACTAGTCTGTTGTCATTCCCTTTTATTGCCTGGAATGCCAAGCAAGAGGCTGCATTGCTGAAGTCTATCTGCTCTCATAGAATGATTAAAACTCCTCCACCAGCTCTTGTGTTGCATTTCTAGCAATTATTGCTTACTCTTCTGTTCTTGGCAGAACACTCTAGAGATCACAGGACAGGTTACTGCGACCACCACCAAATTGTTATTGCTATAATGAAAATGGAGGATCACCAGGTGACATAAAAATATCTGATAATGATGATATTTTGTATGTCACAGATGATTATGAGAATGCCTCTCCTTTAGAATCACTATTCCCTAATGTTGGAGGCTGGCACATTGGTTCAGTAGCTGGTACAGTAGATGCCAACTTAGTCAAAGCTGAAATCAATCAGCAAAGGAGTCTGAAGGATTTTGTGATGCAGACTGGCTGATACACTCTGACCAGATAAATCTCTTTTCTGCTGATAGTAGTGTCGGAGTCCACTAGGTGCAGGGCATTATGTTGCCAGTGTTTCTTTCCATGTCCTTTGACACAGTTGAAGAAGATTCTTCACATACTTGATGTTTGGAAGGCTTTAGCTTTTTACATGCAAAAGGGCAGTTGTGTTTAGACAAACTCCACAAATTTTCAAGGCATTCTGTAGGCATAAGAAGGGACAAGCCATTTCTGCTCAGAGATTTGCTAAATAGGTTGTTAAAATCATTGCAGTGGATTATCAGTTGACTTTTTGACATCGCAAGGAACAATTCCACTGCTATGGCCACTTCAACTGGATTCTTATATGGGGTTTCTTTACTGGAGTTGTGCAGGCCTGCCAAAGGATCTCAATCATCAACCTTTATACAACATTACTGCTTGGACAATAAGATGCAAAGGAACACTGCTTGTGGGAGGGCTGTCTATTGTCCATTTTCCAGGTGCCTATCCACCCGCCAGAACACTTCATACCAATGGAAAGTTAGTTTGTTAGAAGTAGCATACAATTTCGTAAGGCATGTTCAAGGTATTTTCTGCATTACAAAAGCACAGAGTACTTGGGTTTTTTTGTTTTTGTTTTTTTGTTTGTTTTTGTCCTAGTCCTGAGTTCTTTCAGTAAACATTCTCTCAGGAGTTCTGAGACCAGACTCCTTAGACAAGTTTTCAAAGGGAGAAATTGCTCCAGGTCTGCGGCATTCTGAACTTTTGAACCTATCAGTCAGGACCCCAATTTTTGACTTTTTGACTGCTTCCTGGCCAAACCTGGATTTGTGCTGGCAAAGACATTCTGTGTCTAATTGTAAAAATATTTTAAAATATATATTTTTAAAAATAGAGAACAAATATTCATAATATCATTTGTGTAAGCTGTGAAATTACTCTTTTTTGCTTTGGAGTTTGTCTTATTCTATGTTAGCAGAGTTTTGATACCTATATCCTATCAGTGTCTTAAACATTCTATCTGTCTTGTCACTATACTGTTGTTTGGTGATTAAAGCGGGGGGGGGGACTCCAAACATGTGTGCCATCAAGTCACTTCTGCTGTGTGGTGACTATATGAGTGTAAGCTGTGAAATTACTCTTTTTTGCTTTGGAGTTTGTCTTATTCTATGTTAGCAGAGTTTTGATACCTATATCCTATCAGTGTCTTAAACATTCTATCTGTCTTGTCACTATACTGTTGTTTGGTGATTAAAGCGGGGGGGGGGACTCCAAACATGTGTGCCATCAAGTCACTTCTGCTGTGTGGTGACTATATGAGTTAATTACCTCCAAAACAAAATAAAGGGAGAAATTGCTCCAGGTCTGCGGCATTCTGAACTTTTGAACCTATCAGTCAGGACCCCAATTTTTGACTTTTTGACTGCTTCCTGGCCAAACCTGGATTTGTGCTGGCAAAGACATTCTGTGTCTAATTGTAAAAATATTTTAAAATATATATTTTTAAAAATAGAGAACAAATATTCAAAATATCATTTGTGTAAGCTGTGAAATTACTCTTTTTTGCTTTGGAGTTTGTCTTATTCTATGTTAGCAGAGTTTTGATACCTATATCCTATCAGTGTCTTAAACATTCTATCTGTCTTGTCACTATACTGTTGTTTGGTGATTAAAGCGGGGGGGGGGACTCCAAACATGTGTGCCATCAAGTCACTTCTGCTGTGTGGTGACTATATGAGTTAATTACCTCCAAAATACATCATTAATGCTTCTGCTCAGATCTTGCAAATCTGTAGCATCTCATGGTATATCTTCCTCTTTTTCTACTGCCCCTCCCCACTTTTCACAGCAATATAAATTCTTTTCTGATGAGTTTTGTATTTTCATTAGAAGTACATGGTAGGATAATCTCAGTTTACTCATTTTTGCTGGAGTCAGAGTTCAGGCTTGACTTGATTGAGCACCCACTTTTCTGCCTATCTGTATGGCGATCCTCCAAAACCACATTTCAAATGAGTTGAATTGGTTGATTGTATGCTTCTCTGAGGTCTTTTGATACAATATGGGCTTGAAATATTTTGATAAACATATATTATCAGTGGAGGAGCAGACTTACGCAATTGACCAGCTTGGTTGGTACAGCAGTCGCTTCCATGTTCATGTCGCCTGTCTGTTACAGCTGATTAGCAGCCTATGCTTTGGGTCATCATCTTTGTTGAAACAGATACAATAGCTTGACAATTATTGTGACTACATGTGCTCCGTAGAAGTTGTTCTAATGAATATAATTTACATATTTTTCTTATGACTGCTATGTAACTGTGACGTGTTTTCAGTTAATTGTTATACATATGGCCCTTCAGTATAGACAGCATTAATTATTGCTGAATGTCACTCTTAAGATGCTTGCATAGTATCACTCTTTCTTCCTCTCTCTTCTCACCAGAGAGATAAATATTCTCTTGTGAGTTTTACCAGTACTTTACCGCAGTGTTCTGAGAAAAGATGTGTTGGCAGGCAGCAGTTGTCTTAGTCCCAGCCAGTATGATCTTACTGGAATCTGGCAGGGGAAGCCCTGCCAAATTCTTCCAAGGCTTGTACAGTGCTAGGCAGAAGTTGATCAGGATCCTAAAATAGAACACCTTTTGGCCAGGGCTGTAGTAGAGAGAAAAGGCAAGAGGTTAAGCTCCTCCTTAGATTTTCCTGCCACCTTTTAAATTGGTAGGTAAATGTTCTCAGCCTGCCTTTGTTGCTGCCTTCTGTGTGTGTGCTGCTATAAATGGTCAGATCGTAATGTGTGTGATAGTATGCAGTATTGATGCAGACTTGTATCACCAGACCATGTGTATTTGTATCTAGTTCTAGTGCTGATGTTTTCAGGCACATGAAGACATTTCCGATGATGACTTTTAGTAGCCCAACATCAAGTTCTGTCTTCGTATATTCTTCGCCAGAAAAAGGCTGCTTTTCTTTACGCCAGCAATGGCAAACCTGTGGCACGCGAGCCACAGCAGGCACACAGGGCCCTCTCTGTGAGCATGTGAGCCATAAGTCGCCATTGAGAAATATTTACCCGTGAAATAGGCTACATTCTAAGCTAATTCAGCTTGGCAAGATACCACATGTGGGTTAATCAGTAAGGAAGATCTGGTCCATATGCTGAACAGATGCAGAAAGGAGATGCCTTAGCATGTACTGTACCTTTTCTTTGGTGACTTTAAGAAGTATATCAGGGAAATAAATAAATAAAGAAGATAAAAACATAGTGGCACCTTAAAGACTAACGGTTATATTTTAATGTGAGCTTTCATGGACAACTCCATGCTTCCTTTAAGAAGTATGATCTTGTTCAGAAATTTACAACCAACTCTTGTAATTCACCTATTGTTGTCTTTTCACAGCTCTGAAAAGCCCAGCTGCATTTCATGAACAGAGAAGGAGTTTAGAACGGGCCAGGGTAAGTTATTAATTAGCTTTTGAAGAGTTATTTGTGCTGCCTTTCCAAATCTAGTGTTAAATTCTGCAGAACACTTCTTTTATTCTGAGGGTGTTGAGCAGAAGTGGACAAGCTGGTGTGTTCCAGGATTTTGTGACATACAGTACATCCAAGATCCATGTCCTCTGGGTATACTGGCTTGGTCTTATAGGAGTCATAATCAAACACATCTGGAGGACATCTTGGACTATGAGTGTTTCCATATTTCATGCTACCTGTGATGCAGTGTGAGTAGTTGCATCAGTAGGAGGCCTTACTTGAGGTTCACCATATCCTGTTCTGTTTCTTTTACAGACGGAGGACTACCTGAAACGAAAGATCCGCTCCCGGCCAGAGAGATCAGAGTTGGTGAGGATGCACATTTTAGAAGGTATGGTCCCTTAGTGTGTAGCCATGTAGTACATTAAAAAAACTAACTTTATATCTATGATTCTCACACATCATTCGTGTTTGTTTTGTTGGGTCAGGACTGTTCGAGTGGGCCAGGGATTGGAGGGCCTGGGAATTGGGATATGGTTGGGAGCTAGATTTTTGAAATACTGGTTAGAGACCAGTCTTTATGGATGCCTTCCAGTCTGTGTGTGCCAAAGAGTGTATTAGCATTCAAAAACCAGTGTTCACAAGGCACTCTGGCTTTTTAATTTCATTCATTTACCCATTTGCCAAATGACAGTTCCTGAACTCCACTGCCAGACAGCATCAGATTTTAAAGGCCAAAATGGAAATCTGATCACATGTTATCAAAAGCATGATCCACAGAACTGACCTCTGAATCTGTTGAACTTCTGGTGGGGGGCATCATATTTGCTGAAAGCTAGAAGCGGCACTATTATAATCTTGAAGTTATAGGCTGAGCAAACAATGTTGTTTTCAAAGTTCTCTAGACATACAGTTTATGTTACTGCATCTACTCTATAAGATGCCAGCAGAGCACTTCCTACATAGGAATACTGTCTTGATAATTTGCAAAGCATCAGTAAAGGGAGTGTTGGAAGGTGAAGTTTCACTTAGAACAAAAATGAACAATTCAGTGTTTAAAAGACCTTGAAATCTGCAATTTGTTAAGTTATTTGCACATCATTTGAAAATTGCTTCCAAAAGAATTAATTAGTTCAAAATAGGAAATGAATGACAAGGGAATTAAAGATATGCTAAAGAAGACAAAGAGACTGGAAAGAAGCTGAATAGATGAATTCTTTTCATCTGTCTTCACTGCAGAATTTATAGAGCAGATCCATGAATCAAAAATGTAATGTGTCCTTAAGATTGTCCTCTCACCAAAGCCTGAAAGGTGCCTGGTGTAATGCAAGGCTTGGTTTTGTTTTTGCTTCCCCAATTTTGTACAGAGTTCAAGCAACTGAGAAGCGATAATATGTTCCTTGTCTCCCCCTCCCCTCTGTTCTTGGAGCAGAGACCTCTGCTGAACCTTCCCTTCAGGCTAAGCAGCTGAAGTTGAAGCGGGCCAGACTGGCTGATGATCTGAATGAGAAGATTGCCCAAAGACCAGGTCCCATGGAGTTGGTAGAGAAGAACATTTTGCCTGTTGAATCCAGCCTGAAGGAAGCGATAATTGGTAAGACTGGTGGCAAGAGGAGTTGTGCTTGTGTAGGATGAATATGACAGCAGCTCTCATTGTGCACCCCCCAAATTCCTTTAAATTCAGTGTGCTTGCTTGTTGTTAGTCATTCATCTAAGGCACTGTTTCTCAACCTTTTTCAAGTTGTGACCACCTGTTAAAATAACCAAGTAACATTTGACATCACCACCCTCCATAATGTTTGCATAAAAAGGCATTTTTAATGAGGTAAAGTCATTAGAGGCTAGTATGTCAGTAAAGGCTTCTTTCTCTTCCAAAGGGCCTGTTTCTCATACATACTCATAGACAATAACTTTAATATCCTACTCCAAAACATCAAGGAAGAAATTATTTAACGAGGGATACAATACATACAAGGCGAGCTGTGAATCTCCTTCCCAAAAAACTCTTTGTGACTCCTTTTTGGTTCCTGACCCTGAGGATGAGAGACACTGGTCTAAGCCTAAGGAATCTTTCCGTGGGATGGAGAAGAAAATAAATAGAAGTGAGCCATTGGGAGAAGTACAGAAAATGGGAAGAGATGAAGCTTCCAAAAGCAAATGGGAACAGATGCATGGTGTGCAAGTGCTACAGTAATGGAAAGGCAGCAGAGACGTAGCAGTTTCATGCTTTTGGCTGTTGTGCTGTTATTGGAAATAGTTGTGGAAATTAGTGTTGAATTAGGACAGCATGAATCTTCTTGTGGATGAAAATGAGGAGTAGCACAAATGAGCTTGGCATAAAGTCAGTCCAGATGCCAGAGGCTTACTTTCTGCTCCTGTTCTTGTTTTTAAGGACTGGACAGTTCTTTGTTTTCCATATTTTGCATATAAAGTAGGAACAAGGTTATCTTTTTCTAAGCATATAGATGTAGAATAGATTGTGAGTGGAAGTACTAGTAGCAGTCAGGCCTTACAACTTATATAGTAACTATCAGTTCTGAAATGTGACAGCATGCATAAAGAATCTCTGGACTTGGTGATAAAAACAATATTTTGCAAAGAAGATGTCTAAAGCTGGTTTGCATTAGATATAAGCATGATCCTGAAGTCTTTTTGCTAATTATTTCTGACCTACTATCTGTGTTTTAACTAGTGGACTTCCATGTTTTCAGTAGGTCAAGTGAACTACCCGAAAGTAGCTGCAGATAATTCCTCCTTTGATGAGGATAGTAGTGATGCCCTTTCTCCAGAACAGCCAGCAAGCCATGAATCCCAGGGATCTGTGCCATCTCCAATGGAAGCACGTGTTGTTGAATCCCTTCCCACCTCCACAGTGGCATCCCCTCCTCAGGTAAGAATGTGAACTGTTTGTTCTTGTTGAACTTGATGATTTGGCCATGATTTGGCAATGTTTGTATATATTTATGAGAAAAGAAGGGGAAAGCCTTTTGTAAAATGTGAATGCCAAGGGGGTTTGTGTTGATTTGCTGAGAAAACATTTGATATCTGAACCTTCAAATAGCAGTAATGGAATTCCTGTTGTTGATTTAATTTGTGAAGAAAATAAATGGCCATGAACTGCAAGTTGTATCCTATTTGGGGGAGAAAGCAGGGCCAGGTTTTCTGCTCTGGTGGTTTTGATCCTGAGAACAGGGTTTCCTGACATAACTGGGTTTCCCTGCACCAGAGAAGCAAAGTTAAAGGAAGGAAGAAACATCTGAAAAGAGTCTTGTCTGTCTTTTCTTCCTGTTGTGTTTCAGGAAGATGTTGGAGGTGACTTGCAGCCTGTGAGCTCCAGCATGCAGTTCCTTCTGTCTAGATGAAAAGGAAAGAGGCACAAAACTAGATAAATTAATGTACATATGTATCTTAACATTTTCTTTGTAGGTGGTGTGTCAGTTACAAATCAGTGCAGACTCCAGTGAGACGCCCTTCCTGCCTGAACAGCCTCCAGCTGCCCTGCTACCCCCACCACCTCCGGTGCCTCCTAATCTCACCAATGGAATTGCTACTCCTGCAGCCAAACCACTTCCAACTCTTATAAAGGTATCCTTTATGCTGGATTAAACACCTGATAGCAGTAACATAATCCATCATAATATGGATATGTTTTAAGGTTAGGTGGCAGGTTCTGAGTACATTAATCTTGATTACTACAGGTTTGGTAGTTCCTTTGAATGTCTGTCTTCACTTAAATGCTGACATAATTCAGAAAGCAGCTAATTAAATGGATATTCTTAATATTTATATTCTTAATTACTGAGTAATTTATATTCTTAATTACTGACTAATTAATATTCTTAATTACTGAGCCTCGTGGCACAGTGATTAAACTGCTGTGCTGCAGCCAAGACCTGTGCTCATGACCCTTGGTTCAATCCCAGGTAGCCGGCTCAAGGTTGACTCAGCCTTCTATCCTTCTGAGGTCGATAAAATGAGTCCCTGGCTCACGGGGGGGGGGAATATATAAGCAGCACACTTTGCTTTGCTTTATTAACCCTCGGAGTGTGAGTGCTCTCTTCATTACAGTTATGCCAAGTCTCAGACAGCTGGCTAGATGACTTTAAAGCTGGTGTAAGCTAGAAGCTGTTCCTCTCAACCATTTAGGATTGAAAGCAATAAAAGTAGATGTTTTTTCCTCTATAACAGTCCATTTGTTTATCTGTCTATTCTGTGTACCTTGGAGTCAGGTGCGCTTATTGAATTGTAAGTATTCAATGTCCTTCGTATGTGGCAAGTCTCTTGAAGAACTGCTGCTGTATTTTACACTCTGTGAGCACTTCAGTCTTGGTGACAGAGCTACCCACACACATTTACTGTATTAATTAATGTAAGCAGCACTTTCATCTGAAGAAGTGGGCTATGCTCCATAAGCCTTTGTACCAAACAAAGCTTGTTAGTCTTGGGGTGCTACAAAGCTTCTAGTAATATTGGCTGCAAAAATCAGCCATCTGATATGGCTACCCCTCTGGAAATACTTGGTGTGTATACTTTTGTTGAAGAATTTGAAATATATTAGTGAAAGTTCAGTTGTGCTCCTTTCTGTAGTCTGTCTGTATACATGTACTGAGTAGTGTCAGGGTGATTGAACTAGATGTAATGAAATATACGGGCAGAAGTTAGCTGTTATTCTTTCTGTTTCCACTCTTTCATATTATTAATCAGCCAATTATAATATCTTGATCCATCTGTTTTCTTACCTTTTATAGCAAAGCCAGCCCAAGACCTCATGCGAAAAGTCCCAGCGGAGCAAAAAATCTAAGGAACCGAAACCGAAAGTCAAGAAGCTGAAATACCACCAGTATATCCCACCGGACCAAAAGCAGGACAAAGGGGCTCCTCCCATGGATTCCTCTTACGCCAAAATCCTACAACAACAGCAACTCTTCTTGCAACTCCAGATCCTGAATCAGCAGCAGCAGCAGCACTACAACTATCAGACCATCCTCCCTGCTCCACCAAAGTACGGGTTGCTTCCTGTTCATTTTTGTTCTCCAATTCACCAAGGTCCTGTACGGGCAGCAGAAGTTGATTATAAGAATGTCCTTAAGGCTTCCCGGTTCTAATGGTGAGAAGTAGATTGTGGCAATCAGTTCTTCTCTCAGATATTCAGTCCCCATTTTCCTTTCCCCTTCAGGCCCCCAGGAGAGCAGCAGAATGGAAGCAGTGCCCCACCTGTGCGGAGTCTCTCCAATGCTGTCAGCAACACCTCTTCTGTTTCCTCTAGTTCTAATGGGTTGATGCGACAAAATAGCAATGCTCCAATGGGCAAGCCAGGAGTTCTCCCTGCAAATCTTGACGACATGAAGGTAAGCAAGCGGTCATTGACCACCTTGGGTTTTGTGTGAGGGAATATGGCCCCATCTGTTCTATAATTTTTTAACATGTATTTTGTAGAAGTGTGAGTTGATGTAAGCTTATTTAGCGGACCGGATATAAATATGTTAAAGTGTGTGCTGCTGTTTTGCACTGAAATTGTGCTAAATGAAAGTTTGATGTTGTTACTGACCATAAATGGTTGAATAAATTCACCATGATCCTATTGGAATTTGCATAAGGTTTGCTTAATTTGCTGTATCTAATTTTGGCTGACTGATGTTGTGTGAGGCTTCATCTTAATCTCATGTCAGATCGCATGCTTGATGGCAGATGTGAGATGTGCTCCAGCATCTTCTTAAATGGCAAGTTACACAAATGTTGCACAAACACCATTCTGAAAGCTGTTTTTTTTCTTTTGCATGGGGAACTCTGTACTGATGATTTGTGTACCCACTGTTTCAGTCAGATGGGGGACTTACTCTCCAGAGTTGTGGCTTTGGACTCTAGCCATGAACTGAAGTAGCTCTTGCCAATAAGAGTGTCCTAGCTAATGAATCTTCTCATTTCATCTTCATCTGCTGTGTTAGGTGGCAGAGTTGAAGCAAGAATTGAAGTTGAGGGCACTGCCGGTGTCCGGTGCTAAGCCAGATCTAATTGAGAGGCTCAAGGCTTATCAAGAGCAGAACGGCATGGCTGGCCGGGCAGCTGGCGCTCCAAAGCCCAATACAGCAATTCTCCCAAAGTCTTCGGAAGTGGTAGTTGCTTTCCCAGCTGCCAGGCTGAGTACAGGGCCTGCACTCGTCAGCACAGGCATTACTTCGGCAGAGGTGGTTGTGGCAACAGTCACCGGCAATGGTGTGATGAAATTTGGAAGCACAGGCTCAACTCCTCCTGTCTCCCCCAGCCCCTCTGAGCGTTCGCTGATGAGTGCTGTGGATGAGAATTCGACCAGCGGAGACGCTTTTGGGGAGATGGTGACCTCTCCTCTGACTCAGCTCACCCTGCAAACTTCACCTGTACAGTTTTTGGTGAAGGAAGAGAGCTCCAAAGGCAGCCCGTGCAGCACAAATCAAGGTGTGAGAGCAGAACCCTCTCTCAGCAGCAGCGGTGGGGGCAAGCAAGACATGGAGGTGCAGAATAAAGACCAGATGTTGCAGGAGAAAGATAAGCAGATTGAGGAGCTCACACGGATGCTGAAGCAAAAGCAGCAGCTGGTGGAGATGCTGAAGCTGCAGCTGGAAAGGCAAAAGCAGTCGCAGCAGCCACTCTCAGCCACAGCGGTTGGCGAGGAGGGACCCCCTTCAGTTCCAGAGCCACCTGCATTTTGCACCCACATTAAGAGTGAAAAGGGCGTTGTGAGTTGCCAATTTTCAGGGCAGCCCAGCTGCCACACAGACCAATTAAAAACCACACAGACCACTAGCCAAATGGACACCTCAGAAGCAAGCTCAGTGCCAAAGAAAGCAGTGATGGTGAAGCAGGAGGTGCCAGCTGTGGAGAATGAGCCATCCTGCCAGACCTCAAATTTTTTCCTTGGCCAGCAAGCTGGAGGCTTCAGTGACCTCATCAAAGGAACACCTCCCCCTACCCTCATCACCGATTCTACTGGCACACACATAGTCCTCACAGTGACCAATCAGAGTACAGAGAGGCAGGGCCTCTCACCTCAGGAAAAAATGGGGAGCGGTTTGTTGTCATTGAGGGTAAGTGTGCATGCCGTGATCCTCTGAAACTGAAGGTACTTATCCACAGATGGCTTTGAACTAGGGAACAAATTCTGCAATGTTCCTGTTAGAATTTTGCTGCAGCACTGTAGTCAGTGCATTTAGTGGACTTGCTGTTGGAATGATTAAGCAAGCAGGTATTAGTGATAGTGATGGGGGATTGCCAGCCAAGGGTGCCGCTGCTTCATCTGCCACACCCTGTGGTACTATGGGAAAGTGGATTGAAAGATGTGGATTGAGTCGCGTGGCAGCTTCGCTCCTATCTCTCCTCCTTTAATCAGCCAAAGAGAGGCAGGAGAGCACCTCACTGAGCTGGTGCCTTGGGAGTTTTTCTTAAAACAACTTAGCCACGGTTTCTGCCAAGCCCTGTCCAAAGAGCCAAGCACTGGGGAGGAAGAGTGGCCTTTACCATGCTTGAGGTCTGTGTGGGCTGGGTGGGTGAGCCTGATTAGCCAAATTTGGCTGGAGCTTCTCCATCTTAATTGATGGAAGGTTTATAACTAAAGAGAGTTTATAACTAAAGATAGTTTTTCCCAGCCGAGAAAGATATAATACAGTGAAAGCATGTGTCTGAGAACAGGCAGTGTGTGTTTATTTTTCTGCTGAGCAGTTCTGAAATTATCCCTTCATACAAACGTGCAGGATTAAACTGATGTGGGGCACAGCAAAATTAGTACTTCAGCACCTGAGGCTGGTATAACAACCTGGTTTAAAGCAATGGCAGGTGGTGTGTGTATTTTCGTTCACTTCAGAGCCAACGTCTTCAAATGCTTCTTAATGAAGGCTGTTCTGTAGAATTACATTCACAGTTGCTATGGCAGCAGCTGTAACCAGTTGACTCTTGGTAAACTGCATCTCCTTAGCCCTAGAAGTCATTGTGTTTTCAAGGTCAGTTTTTACTTTTGTGCCACTGTTTCCCCACTTGCTCTCCTGTTAATCTATACCTTCTTCATGTGCTCCGTCCTCTGTCCAGCTCTTCAGCCCCCTTTTGATCTTCTTTCCTTTAATTGCATACACAAGCCTGCTCTCATACCACTGTATATGTTATCTGTCTGCAACAACTGGGAATCAAGACTGTTTTTTCAGAAGTGGGGCACGTTGAAACTTGACATGTGTTTTTCCCCCCTTCTCAGAGAATGTCATCTCCACCTGTAAAAGCACCTATCCATCAACCCGGAAGCAGCTCCCAGCAACTTCAGCAATCCCAGTCACCAAGCGAGCCCATCAAGAAGGTAGCTGACCAACTCTGGTTTCCTAACAGCTCCCATTGTGGTCCAGGTGGCAGAGGAAAAGAGGGAAGCAGTCAACGTATCCTCTGGCTCCTAAATATGGAACTTGTGATGGAAGAAGTATTTCTTCCTGCAGAGCTGTTCCCAAAGCACCATTCACCTTTGTCCAAGTACAAATTGAGATAACCTGAGCAAGATGGCTCAGTGGAAGCAGTTTTGTTCAAGTGTTAAAACAATGCTATAAATATTCTGGCTTTAACACATTCTTAGTACATAGAAATAGTGATGGCACACTAGCAGAATCAGATGTATGCTTTGGGTATTCAAGCTTTGTGGCATTGGCTGAAATTAGTGTACTAAGTTGTATTAGAGTAGGCCCATTAACCTGTGGAGATTTGGTAAGTCACCTCCTTTGTAAGTTCCATGTATTCAAATGGGTCTACTCTAATTGCAGTGTTTAGTAAGTTGCAGCTCCATAAGTTCCATGGAGTGATTCACCAAATCTCCATGGATTCAGTGGGTCTACTCTAGTACAACTTACTATACTAAGCAACAGGATTTCAGTCACTGTCTTTTGGTCTTGTCTTCCTCAGTAGGAACTTGCCACTTCAATTTTACTCTAAAATGCCAAGATACTGATTCCTCACAGTGTTTATAAATACATTCAAAGTTGCTTGGAAATTGTAAAAATGCATTAAAAATGCATGTAATAATGAAAATCCTGTAATGGGCAAGTTAGAACAAATTTTAAAACAAGGACATAAACTGCACTAATACTTTAATATTAGTGTAATAGTTTAAGAAGCATGCCTGAGATTTAGGAGAGGAGGAGCCACATGCCCCCTTTTAAGAGGAGAGTTCCAGATTTTGGGTACCACAGTAGTAAAAAACTTGGCTTTTAAACCAAGTGTCGATACTTTCAGATGACACAGAATTATTTTTCAGGGCGAGCGTTTTGCCCTGCTTTGGTGGTATCGAAGTTCTTTTGGAGTGTGACATTATAAAGGGAGGCTTGTTCCCCATTAGGAGTAGAGGTTTTTGAGCCAGTCAAAATCTGATCTTTGCATTTTGTTTCTTATCCCTTATGCCCCCTTTCTATAGGGTCAGAAGCTAGGTCTGCAGACGATCAGTGGGCAGCTCCCTCAAACGGCCTTGTCTTTTTCTGCACCTCCCAACTTGCAGGCCTTCTTCCTGAATGGCTTTCACAAAGGACCCCTGAAAACCAGTGTTCCTAGCAAAATTGGGCAGTCCAATATGCCGAAAAAGGTATCCAATGAGAAAGCTTCAGTGAGCACCAAATTAGATTTTGGGAAACAGAACCCAGTAGGAGTCACAGGCCACACCTTTAAGATGTGCTCATCTCACACTGTAAGGCAGCTCCTTCTGACATACAATCCCCAATGTTGAATGTAATTCATCCCAGAGGCAGATCTGCCTGGTTGAAATCCCATTTGGATTAAGAGGAGGTATTTAAAAAGTATATATTTAGGGCTTAGCTGTAGCAAGGGTGATGTGGAGGATTTTCTGTAAAAATATATCAACTTGCAAGATAGGAAGTGCCAGTTCCATTGAATGTTTAGGAGTGATTGGTGTCTGGGAATGAAAATGTGTGCCCCTCCAGAGTGGAGGTGGGAAACATTGCCTGCCCTCTGTTTGTGATTTTTGATGGCATCCTGTAGCTAAAGTTGGTCAAATGTATATTAACATGTGTCATAGTGGCTGTATCACCCTTGATTGCCTCAGGAAACAAAAGGTTGGTCCTGTAGTTGTAAGCAGGCCGCAGTTGCTGGGGAAAGAACATTAAGGGCTAGAATACAATTGAAAACTTACTTCAGTTTGTTGGCAAAAATTACTACATCTGTTGGCAAAAATTCAGTTGTGAATAAGTTACAAGCAGTAACAAAAAGTTACAAGGAGTCAGTGCATACTTGCTGTTATTCCCTCAACCAGCGTTGGCGTCTGACAGCAAACGCCTGTGTTGACCTCTTAACTTACTGTTGTTCACAGCTGAGATTTATGCCAATTGACTTAAGACAACAGGGGTTAGATACTAAGTTTCTGGCCAATCTGGGGGAGAATTTGTGAAAGCTCCCTTTTCACTTGTGTTCCTGTTAGAAATCAACACAGTATTTTATAAAATCAGGCCTTTCGTTTTGGAGAAGCATGAGGATGTATCTTACGATATGTCTGGATTGGCTTTATCTGTGTATCTCTGTGATGGGCGAGACAGATGCTACAGAGGAATGGCCAACACGGGCACAGTGATATACTGTGGTGTGGTGGTCTAATGTTTGCTTCCACTAGAATGGTCTGTGGGCTTTCAGGAGCACCATATAACCTACGAGTAGAAAACATGTTCTGTGGATTTGTGGTTATCATCTGGCTAGCAGGTAAATTGCTGCATGGCAAAAGTTAAAACTTTCCTGATCTAGAAAAGCCTATGCTGGAATTAGAGGAGTCCTATTCTGCAAGTCATATTATGTACATTCTTGACCACAGTGCTGTGAAGGCCATGGAATCTCTGAAGTGAGATGCAGAAGAGGCTGAATCAGAAGTACTTTCAGCAGAATACTTGTATAAGGAGGATGCACACTAATGACCAATTTCAGAAGCATGTAGGTGGGGCTGTTCATTACCTCTTGGCATTTGTCTTCACAGCTTCTCTCACAGCCAAGTTCCCCAGCAACTCCATCTCCATCCCAAGTAGACCTTGAGCAGCAGAACCTATCCTTCTTTGGTATTCCTCCACCTCTGCCCCTCCCTGCCACCTCCGTGTTGATGAAAAGACCACCAGGTTATGAAGAGGCTGTGAAACAACCGCCAAAGCCCCCAGAGGTGAGAGGAGTGGTTTTTCTTTGACAAGCTTCTTGCAAATGGTTTTGAAGTAGGGAAGAATAATTATGCAAGGGTTGAAATTGTCTCCCTGGGGTTAGCTATTTCCCCTTTGTTGAAAGTAGGTCTCTGTCACAGAATGCAGGGGTGTTCTCCTTTTATACATACACATGCCTCTTGGAGAATGAATGTTTTTCTCCCAAAACGGAATGTGATCATTCTAATAGGAAAGTTGTTGCATAGCTGTTGCAGTGTCTAAACAAGCACGTTCCTTTCTTTTCAGGAGAATGGCTGTTCAAGTCAGCAGATGGATGATCTGTTTGACATTTTAATTGAACATGGAGGTAAGAGCGGTATTAGTATTAGATTTGGCTTACCGTATTTTTCCTGTGTATAAGACGCCCCCCCCACTTTTCTAGCCCCAAATTAAGAAATCTAAGTGGGGCTTAGCAAGTGTAGGGGGAAAGGGACCAAAGCCCTGCAGGATTGCTTTGATCCCTGCTTTCCCCTCCACTTGTTTTTTTTCTCTCCTCAGCTTCCTTCAGTGTATAAGACAACTCTCAATTTTTAGTCTAAAGATTTTAGAGAAAAGTATAGTCTTATACATGGGAAAACACGGTAATTATACTGGCTGTGGTTCCTGAGGCTTCTGTACAATTAAGGCCATCAGTTTGTACACAGGCTTATTAGAGCTTTGTTCCTCAGTCACACAGGAAGGATTGTGGTCCATTATAGCCCTTAGGTCACATGCATTACTCTCCCTTTGTGTTCTCCCCCCCCCCCATAGCATCCTCCAGTCTCTCCCCCACATGCTTTGCCACCATCACAGCGTTGGCACTGGCCTACCATTAACATAATCTACAGGCATTTCAGATATAACAGTCCCCCCCCTCACATTCCTGCTACTGGCAGACAAAACAAGAGCACTATTGGACACAGGAAATGAGATATGACCATGGCCGTCTAAAATAAGGTCCCTAGAATAGCTAGAGAACACCAAGTGCCATATGTTGCACCTTGGCTTTTGAAATTTGTGTGTGTGCAGGTACATGCTTGAGGGGGAAGATGGATGATTGAAGAAAGGGAAAGAAAAATCTATCACTGGCAACTCCTGATATGCAACTACCAACCACTTTTCCTTTAGGGAGTGTAGACTTTGAATAAAAAGTTGCCCACCCTTGCCTTACATAATTTTGTGCTAATTTGATACTGAAAGAGGCATTAATGTCTCTTAGCAATTTCAAAATCTGCCAGTCTAGCCTGCAGTGAATGCTGGCCAATTCATTGAGTCCAGGATGACTGCAGCATTTTCAGTGGCCTAAAGAAGTCTATGTGAATGTTTAATAGTATTAGGAATAACAATATATTTGAAACACTTGGTTTTTCGCCACAGAGATTTCAGCTCAGTTCAAGGAGCCATCTTCCCCTGCAAGAAAAGACACAGCAATGTCTCCAGGATGCCCGTCTCCGTCCAGTAGCCACCATTCCTCAGATCTGCCCCTGCAAGTGGGCCACCCAAGCTCTATTAATCTCACCCCAGCAGGCAGGCTGGAAGACTTCTTGGAAAGCAGCACTGGCCTTCCCTTGCTGACAACTGGCCCTGATGGACCTGAGCCTCTGTCCCTCATTGACCTCTACAGTGAGATGCTAAGCAGTTCAGCAATCCTGGACCATCCATCTTCACCTATGGACACATCAGAATTGCACTTTGCCCCTGAACCTACTGAGGGACCAAGTTTGGACCTGGTAGAGAATAATTTAGACAGTATGGATTGGTTGGAACTGTCTGGAGGACCAGTGATGAGCCTCACTCCCCTCAGTACTGCAACACCTAGCCTCTTCTCCACAGATTTCCTTGATGGACATGATCTGCAGCTGCACTGGGATTCTTGTTTATAGCTCTCTGAGCATGTAGACTGAAGGAGAGCAGTATAACTGGGTTTAATATGTGGTTGGGAGCTTCAGTGAAAGTTACATCTAAAGACACCCTGCCATCATACTTTTGACCAGCTTTTGTGAATCTAGAGCCAAGGGCAAGCACCAGTGATGTATTTAGAAGATTCAGCCTCAGGCAAGCTGTCACCTTTCTCACAGCCAGGAGTAGGATGAGACACGGTCCTTTCTTTAAATATTCAGGGGACACACTAAGGTGGGAGTGAGTTTCTGGAGAGTTTCACGCCTCTTTTGCGTGAGTTGGCATTCTGCCTGGGGGCTTAGTTAAAGGCTAAGAATCCTGAACAGTTCAGGAGGACTCACTAGAGAACACAGGACATTCTACTCAACTTGAGGCTGCCTAGTTAGGAAGCCTTTGTTAAAAACTTCAAAGAAAACAAATTTGGCCACGTCAAGAGGGTTTTTTCCTTTAGTTTTGGCTATGGGCTCTGTTTCTGAGAAAAGGCAATGGAGGACAACTGCAGAACCATGGATGAATCAGAATGAGTACAGAGCTGAGGCACCAAATAACCTCAGTTCCACACTTAGGCATCCTTCTCCCAGAACTTCCCTGCTATAACATCATAGTATAGGTGCTTTCTGCCAAGTAAGAAATCCAAACTCGTGCCAGTGCGTAAACAATAGCCATCTTTCCTTGACCTGCTCCCAGTTCCTGCACATAGTCCTTGCTTCTGGCTTGACCCAGCTAAAAATAAAACAGGTGACTGAATTCCCTGGTTGTGGTATTTCACTTGGGTGAATTTTTTCCCTGAGCACTAAATTGGCTGTGAGTCAAGAATGACGTGTGCAACTTCTTCTAATTGCTGTACTGCCTTCTCTTTTATAGCCCTGCCTCTGAAAGCTGGTTGGCTAGAACCTGTGGTTTTTGAAGAGAGGGTGTTCTGGAAGGTTTTGGCCTTTTGGTGCAGAACGGCCACCTGGGCTGCACTATGATGCTGTACCTAGCACTTGTTAGTTGATGGGAGCTTCCACTATTCTGAAGCCTGGCATTATGGGGACGTCTGGTCTCAGTGTAGGTCACTGCACAAAAGGGGTTATAACTTCTTTATGGAGTGCTCAACTTATGACTAACTTAAAAAAGAAACCATTTTAATCAAAAAGGGCCTTGGAAAATATGAGCACCAGTTTTTTCTGGAGGAAGAAACCTTAGCTGCTTGCTAAGGAGCTGTATGTTTCATTGCACAGAGGAAATATCTTGTAGCCATCATCCCTGCTGCTGGGAAGAGTGGTTCTGAACCACAGTCTTGCCTCTTGATACTTGGTTTCATTTATAGCTGGTAAAATATCTGTATATAGTGCTGTAAAACTGTTTTGTTTAGAAAGCAAATAAAGTTATCCCACCTATTTAGAAGGTGATATTTCTTTTTAGCTCCTCCCCCTCTGAGATAAACCATTGGGGAGCTGCTTTTTTAGCCTGTGGTTTGGTGCAGAAGAGGACTTGATCCCTGCACTGCCCTTTTAGCCTTATTGCACATGTCACTCTAATGAATTTATACTCCCATTAGTCTTTCCTTCTCTCTCCTCCCCATCAGAAAATACTCAGTTGTGCATCTGCTAGCACTGCCTGACCTCCCACAGCTTAAGGAAGTGGTTTTCTTTTTGCTTGTTTCACAAACATTCTGTTTCTCTTGCACATTATAGAAACTACAACATATCCTGTACCCCATTATGATGAGTGGCCTGATTCTGGAGAAACAATGGCAATTGTGTGTCTAGCCATTGTTCTGGAATAATCCACTGCATGTGAAGTTAATTTCATTCAGTGAAAGAAGTCCACTTAAAAAAGAAAATCATATTTTTTGCATTTGCTAGAGGTAGTGTATTTTCTCTGTTACCTACTATGAATCATATCAATCATTTGGTCTGTGGCTGGATTGGAAAGTTGTATACTTGTGATTGCTCACAGTGCAGGAGAATTAATTCCACCTGGGGTAGTGGTAGTGGTGAGGACTTCTTAATGACCTAGATCACTGAGAGTATTTTGCCTCTTCTGTCAATATATTTAGATTTTGATATTCCTTGGCCAAGTCAGGACTGCTTTTTCAGCAGTATGGGTTTCATTTAGAAAGGTGCTACCAACAGCTGCTGCCTGGCTCTGGAACAGTAACTATATCTTCTGTTACAGTGTACAGTTACAATGAGAAGTCAACAATTTTGACAAATCACTACTTTTAAGCCTAAAAGGTACCAAGCCTAGTTTAGTACGCTTCCTATCGTGGGACTCATACATCAGTGGAACAGGAGCATACTTGGGATTATACACTAATGTCAGGTTTTTCTCCATTGTATCAAATAGCGCTGCTTTTAAAGGTCTGTTCTTTAAATTCTTCTTTTATACCGAACACAGTAAAACAAGAGTCTAAGGAGTTGCCTCGGTTTGAATGTATGTTTTCTGCTGATAACCACTACTTGTATAACCTGTCTTGATTAACACGCACACTTTCTTCCACTATGCATGAGTGAAAAGGGTTATCAGCACAGGTGGGAAGGCATAGGCAGTGCTGTAGTATGGGAATTTGAGTGAACATGCAACTGGAAAAGGGTATGGAATGAGCAGTTACTTGGGGAGAGAATGGATAAATCAAATTATTTTTTCAGTTATAGATATTTGAAAAATCCATTTTATTAAAAAAATGTGTTCTAGCATCTTTGTACATCTCATCTTTGGTCATGATATTATAGATGCCCTATAATGTATCATGGTGAAAATGTAGTAAAAGCATTCAACTCTTGTGGAGTGATGAAGAATCAGTTCATATTGTTGCTATTGGTGCAAGTTGCAGTTCAAGTAACAAGTTAAATCTCCACTGTCAGCACTGATCATCACTGCATTCTCTCTCTCATTACTAGATATTTTGCTACCATCCAGTAAATTAAGGAAACCAGGGCTGCTTTTCCTACATACTTTGTTACCTGTTGTTTCTGGTTCACAAGCAGAATATTGTAGAAGGCCAGACTGCAACAGCACTACTACTTTAGGAGGAATACATTCTCTACAGGGCTGCTCAAGCAGTCACATAATACTTAGTACTTAACGTCATCCTTCATACTCCTGCCAGAACACTATTACAGCCATTGTTCTGGAAAATAGAAAATAAGGCTTAAAGGCATATGAAAGATCAATCCCACTTCCCCTCCTGCTGTCACAAGATGTGCAATTTATTTATGAACCAAAACGACACAGAACCTTACTTCATTTCATGATTAGATTGTGCTCTCCAACCAGTGCTTTCATTATTCCTGCACTCCATTCATTGCTGCCACCATGCAGCAAATTGTGTGCTCCCTATTCTGTAGCCTCCTCCCTCTGTTGGGGCAGGAGACTGCAGTTCTGTCCCTGAGCCAGCTCAGTCCTGAATCAACCTCGTACTCTAAAACATGTCAAAATATACATATATTTCTGGATAAAACTTTCAACTTTTGGTTATCAATTTCAAAAATTTGCTCCATCCTAATATGACTAATTTTGGACCATCGTAGAACAGAGTGAGATGGACCGGTTTCTGCTGCTACCACCATCCTTTACAGAAATCCAAGGCAGTCTTACCAGTCAATCATTTTAGGCACTTTGTGGCAGTACCAAAGCCATTCATGCACCATAGCACCTTAAAAACTAGTCAATAATTGCCTCTCATTTTGGTGGGTGCATCGCACATTTTCTCTTTCTAGGAAGAGTCTGCTACCACGAGAAGTAAGCATTGGGGACCTTGTCAGTCAGTCATCCCCTCTCCTTCCTGGGCAGAAATGAATGTTAACAGCTATCATCAGGGGACGTTTCTGCATCTTCTTACCTGGTTATGACAATCTCCTAATCAAGGTCACTCTCTTCCTTTTACCTAGAGTTGATGGTTGCTTGCCTCAGATTCTGGGCCCAAGTAGTACTCATGACTCTGGTAGCATAGGTGCCTACATGCTCTGCATAGTCAAATTAGTGAAAAATAGAGAAGGGAAGTTGAACAGCCAAATTTTGAATAGTTATAAACTCTGCTTTTTTCAGTGTGCTCCTTCAGCTTGTTTGCTTGGGCAAGTTCCTACAAAATAATAGTGATCTCCCACCAAGTAAAATACCATCAGAGAGGTGGCAGACTTGTTCGCGGTATACAATGCATGAAGGGGCAACTGGGTGGGTAGATGAGCGAAGAAGAGAGAGATATGCCATGTATTTTATGCCATCTAAGAAGTCCAAGCAGAGGCTGAGCATGATGTCACCCATCTATGTCCCAACTGAAGAGGTGATGCTTCACAAGCATGTCCTGAACTCCTTCTTTTAACGGCTTCTTCTCCTTCTCCTGTAAACAGAAAAAGGATCAAAGGAGAGTTGACAACACATGTTCAGCTAACCTGTACACACTACACTGTCTTGGGCAGTGCATGAACTGTTCTCCTGCTGATCCCAAGCTAAGCAGAAACAGTTGGGGCTAAAGCAGAAGGAGAAACTCACTTATGCCTTGTGTATTACTATTTAGAGTTGGGCTAAGGAAAGCAGATGACTAGCCATGAGGGAACCTGTGTTTTGCTGTAGGATCACATGCTTACCTCTCTTTTTACAGGGAGTTCCCACTCTGGAGAGAGGCTGAATGCAAATTTACTGAGGACTCTGTCATAAAACACAATAGCACTGTTAACACAATACTGTTAAGTGTTTAACAGTACAACTGTATCACTGCAGTCAAAGTAAACATACTGTGCTACCAGGAAATACTGATTACATAGTTCTGACATACTGTATTTACATATATTTGCTTCATTATTACCATACTAAGTACTTGCTACATTAACTAATTCTTACTTTCAAAAGTTAGTTCATGGAAAAATTTGGGTACTGAAAAAATTGGTCCACTCTGAATGAAATGGGGTGGGGAGAAAAAGAAAAAGAAAAATGGCATGTGTATTTTAGAAACAGTAGCTATGAGAAAAGCAGACAAGAACTTCTATACAGCTCTGAATATCCTTACAATGTCCATATTCACTGCTGTACTGCCCTTGTCTATATATCTCCAAGCTATTGTTTGCTTTTAGATTTGTTTTGTTTTTAACCTGGAGACTTTGGTTCCTATCCACAACAGATACCAAATTCTTAGAGAAGATGATACAAGCAGACTTCAACCTTGCAGGATTTAACTGTATAGTAGTGCAAAAACAGTCACTTAAAATTAAAGAATTCTTAACTCATTAAATTGGTAAAACTGGGTTGTTGTTTTTGCTCTCATTCTCAAAATCCCCCCCAAAAATAATCGACTCCTGGTTAAATTAAAACTTTAATTGCAGCAGTGTAATTTAGGGTGGAAAGTAACGTTATTGCTGGACAACTAGCTCGTAATGAGTCATCCAGAGATCTAACAGTAGTTTGAGATCTACCAGCTGTCAGTCTCAAACCAGGAAAAGCAGACAGAATACAGCCAGAATTAAGTGTATCATTAACAGATACAGACCTGCTTTCCATCTTTCATAAAATTTGCCAAAACAAAAGGAATAAGAACTGCTGGAGGCATTAAAACAGCTCCCAGTGAGCTTACTGATCAAGGAACCGCAATATAAAGCTGGATAAGGCACAGACATATCAGAAGATGAGATCATTTGCCTTAGGCACAATAAATGAGAACAAAGCAGTGCCGGAACACATTTTTAGGTACAGAAAATAAATCTATATTGACGCCAATAAACCCACTCCTTTACAGCATTCTCTCTATTCAGATCTCCTATTTCTGAAGCTCACATCCACCAGCACCACACTCACTGCCTCATCTGTTAGGTATAAACTTTTGAGCAAACCATTCCTGAGTAGGCCCCTGGTAACCTCCTCTTTTATGAACTAATCTGGCCGACCCATTTGCACTCAAACCTGTGATAAGTGATTATTTCTGTTTCCTGGTAACAGACCAACCATGAAAGTTTGGTGCACAATATCCAGTGGGGAAGCAGAAATCTGGGGAGCTGATGGTCACAACCTCACATCAACATACTATGTTATCCCTCTGCATAAATGTGACTTCCTCCCAATTTGTGTATTCTCCTATCATCAGTATGACACAGGCAAGGACACTTCCATAAACTTGTGTAAGGTTGCATTTTCTATAAAGTAGAATTTCTTAGTATCTCTAAGTGGAAAGGTGTTTCTATGTACCTGAGCTCGCATTTGATCTGCACCCAGCCAGGACTACGCAGGAATGACCAGGGATGGAACCATTTCTCCACTGTCTGCAGGCTGGAGCACAACACTTCAAGCCACAGATGTAGCACCTGCTCACTGAAAAAACAATGTTGGAGGGGAGTTATTATAATGTAGCACACTAGGTTATCCACATAGAATTGAAAGACTGAATGACAGACATCATGTTCTTTAGCTGACAAAGCCATAAAAGAATGCAATGTATCTCAGGCTGCTATTTCATGGGTCCCTTTTAAAGAAGTGTGATATAAACAACTATGTCTTATCTACATATTGTTTTACCATCCTGAACACACCAATCTCATCTGATTTCAGAAGCTAAGCAGCATCAGGCCTAGTTAGTATTGGACAGAAGATGACCAAGTACCTCCCCTGCAAGGCTGGGCAGCAACCTCCCTAAAAACCCTGGAATGCTGACAAAGCTAGGCTAGAGAGATCAAGAGTCTGACACAGGATAAGGGAGCTGCTTGTGTACTCTTGTGTTAACAAGTAAAGGAAGCAAAAGGGAATTACTTACTTCAATCCAATGCAGATGAGGGAACGAAGCTTCACATCCATCTGAGCATGTGCTGCATCATGTGACATGTTCACAGACTGTACTGCCTGCCAGGGAAAAAAGGATTTGTATGGATAATTCCTTTAGGGTTGGAGACGGAAAGGTTCAAAACTGCATACCAACTATTTTCCACACACAGGCCTTTGCCTCTGAGAGGCATCAGGACTAACAGGTGACACTGATCACATCTGTAGGGAGAGACCAGCACCAGCAATTCTGTGGGCTCCATACAGGCTCCCCTGGAAGGATGGAGAGACTGTCTCCTGCCTTCCTAATGGCCTCCTAGAGCAGTGGTTCTTAACGTGGGCGATAATGCCCCCCAGGGGGCGATTTCATTTTTCAGGGGGGCGGTAGAACGAAAAGGGGCGGTGTGGGGGCGCTGGAGCAAGCCAAACCTGTGAAGATGGCTGCAGCCTTTTTACAGTGTGCATGAATATATATTTTCCTCCAATCTTAATTTAGTTTCAGAGTTTTTGTCTTGAAATTTTTAGTTCCTGCATGGCGGTTTGTTTTTATGCCCTTTTTATACTGTATTTCTTTTTGCATCTTAAAATTCACTTGCAATTAAATTATTAAATGTTACTTTTTGGGGGCATTTCATTTTCTTGGAATTGAATTTTGTTTTCAGGGGTCATTGGATTTAAGTGTCTTAAATAAATAAATAAATAAATAAATAAATAAATAAATAAATAAATATCATCACCATGGGGAGGGGGCGATGATAACTTCCTCAATGGCTCAAGGGGGCATTTTTTTCAAAAACGTTAAGAACCACTGTCCTAGAGGATCCTTCCTGTAGCTGAGTTAGGCACCCAAATAATGCACTCACTCGATAAAGCAGTTCTTCTGGCGTGAGCACTTTTCCATCTTCATCCAACCTAGCACAATAAAGTGACAGACACAATGTAAGAGCAGGGTCAAATTTTGTCCCTTACCCAGTATCATCTGAACGACAAGTGGAACCATACCCTGAAAAAAACATTCTCAGTAATCCTTCCTGGTTTCATCTGTGATGGCTGCTCTGCAGGGAATGGAGGCAGTTGGAACTCCATAACACTTTGAGGCCTACTCAAACTACAGCAGCCTCCCTCCTATCAAAAGAATCCTTCATCAGGCACTGGCTATCCTACCCTGTATGAGCAATGTACCTATGTGGACAAGGTAGCATGTCAAACCTCTACAAGAAAAATTCCATCAAGAAGGTTACCTGGTGGACATGAAACTTCCTTGTATGGAGAGAGACCCTTTACCTGTATGTCTTGCAGAGGACAAGGCGAGAATAAACAGAATCGAAGTCTCGCTCCACTTCACGTCCAGCAGCCTAGACAAAGATACATACAAAGATAAAAAGATACTATGACTCAAATGTAACTACTACTTCTGTCTCAAAGCCAACAGTACATATGTCAGCCCTTCTCTACTTGCCACCCCACTATTCCCTAAAGACACAACAAATGCCTCTTAGCCTACCACCTCTACCGAGTTCTGAAGGTGGCAACACCATGGTAATGCAAGACACATTTCTGCAGCATTTGCCATAGTATTCCCAAAATTGCTTTGGAACTCTCTCTCTTACCTCTTCAATGAAGAGCCAAGGGTGACAGGCTCCCCCAAGTAGAGAGGGCCTCTTCAGCCCGTGTTCAAATATGGCCTTGAGGGCTGGGCACAGAGTCCCTCTAACTAAGTCTGTGATGCCTTCTGTGACAGAGTCATCACCAGCAATGGAATACTGGAAAAAAACAAGATTAAAGCATTAATTAACATTCCAGAGGAGACACTGGCAATAATCCGCTCTATGCTATACTCTGCAGATGCTTTTTGATGTGCCTGTTCTGCTGCTTTATGGGAGGATGGCCATGCGACTGTTGAGCCCATGTTACTGAACAGAACAGCAAGCTCACACTTCACATTAACTGCACTCCCAGATCATCTCAGCAGCAGATTTATGAATTAGACTGACATTTTCTGAAGACCTATCCTTTGCTCACCATTTCACTTTCCACCTCAGTGCAAAGCCCACCAGACTGCCCTTTGCAACCCGCAAAAATCCCAAACATGGATTCAATGAGTGATGCCACTAAGGCAGAAACATTCTCTTAATGCAGGCCCATTACATAGCAAATACAGCTAAATGCAGTACCTCTTTGCTCCGTTCATCCAAGACCTCTACAAACTTTGCAGGAAACCAACCTATAAAGATAACATAAACAACAAAAATAAAAACCCAGCCAGGCTCCACCCTATTAATTAAAAATAACAGTATTTGGTGCATGATACTGCATGACTTTTTAGTTTTTATTTGGAATAGTATACCGTTGAACAACCACCCGCCAGACCGTGTCTCCACCATTCTTCCCTCACACTCCAATCCCAAAGGCACTTACCTCTTAGACCATTCAGCTCACCCACCCAACAGTGCTCATCCTTCTGAGAGATGATCTATAGGAGCAGAAAGGAGGAAGAGCGACTCAACCATTTGATAGAAAAAGAGCAAAGGAAAATGTTTTTCCAACCCCACCAGAGTCCTTGCCCTTCTCTCTCTCTCTCTCTCTCACACACACACACACACACACACACACAGAGACAGACAGAGAGAGAGAGAGAGAGAGAGAGAGAGAGAGAGAGAGAGAGAGAGAATTGCACTCTTGGAAATGTCTGTTTTTGCAGCTACTTCTGCATTAAAAACAACTGATTTTTGCCCTGGGGGCAGCCTGAAGATTCCAGGTATGAAAACTGCCCCCCCAACAACCTGTCAAAGTTGTCTACCCTGCACCGCAACAATGCCTGACCTACTTCCCACTTTGCTTCATCCATCTATGTGCAGCTCAAGACATGGTCTGTTTCTCTATATCTGCCCTGAGTTGTGAAGCAATTTGCTGCAGATCCCTAAAGCAGAAGAATCAAAATGGCCTAAATACAGTTGAATAGTTAATTTGTTCCTACCCTAGTTTTGAAAAGCCAAAGTCACTGTATTTGTTATTTATAACATCAAGACCGCTCTGCCTCCTTTGATGCTGTTTTATTGATTTTGGCATACCGTGATAATATCATTCTTGCGGAAGCCTAATTCATCATCATCATGGCGCTCAAAATCCAGGAGCGCCTTGGCACGTCGACGCTGATTTCGGGAACATGCTACATAGCTTTCATGGTCCCGCTGGTGGCTCTCCATGGTATAATCTGGAGTCAGATCCTGGTTGTGAGAGGGGTAAAGGAGTAAGAAAGACATGTTTTATACAAAGCACAAGACAGAAATCAGCAAAGGTTATTCTTCAGGCCACAGAGCTTTGTTCTTCCCATTTGTAACACTACGGAAAGCCCTCCTTGAGAAGTAGCAGGAAGCAAAGCTTACTATGTTGCAGCTCTTGGGGTCTATGCATTGGAAATGTTGTGCCACTTGTAGGATGGCCTCACGTAAGTCTGCAACCAGCTCAGTTTGCTTAATATTCTTGGCCTTCAGGGCCTCCATATCATCCTCCCCTAGAATAAGAAGGTGAAATCTCAAACAGAGCCGTGTTCTTCCCCATGAAGCATTCCATCATCTCATCCTCACCTGCTGTTCAAAAACAGATGGCTTCTCCATGCAGACACTCTTATTTTGCTCTGACTATAAATGGCCGATCAGAGACCTCCTTCCATTAATTTTTCTAACCCAGGGGAGGAACCTGTCTATCCAAGGCTGCCAGTTCTTTTGCAACTGCAATACTTAAACCCCTTGCCTTCCCAAGCCCCACACCATGGGGTGTCTGCCCCCCCCATCCAATCTCTGATAACTGATTAGAGAGAAGAGATGGGATTCCCAGTGCAACGGCCGCGGAAAAGGATCCCCTACTGCTGTGCAGAGCTGTAAACTGACTGCCTAGGGCAGGATGGGCAAAATCCAGCCTCCCCCGTCAAGATATTTTGTGTTCCCTGGACACCACTGCCATCAAAACAATGTGCATTGTTGCTGCTCCTGGAAGCAGTCCTCCAGTTAGCACCTCCTGAATGCCCATTGTTCAAAAGGGGAAGTGGACTTCCAGACATTTCCAGTTCTGTTTCTCTACTTTTGTTGGGTTGTGGGCATTCATAACGATTAATGAGTCCCCTGAAAGATCTTCAGGGCAAGTGTGCTGCTTGGTACAACTGTACATAGTCAAATCTGCACTGCAGGAATACACTCCATTTTCATGCCACATAACCCTTTGCAGGCTCTTCTCGCTGTTTTGTCCTCCTCTGCAGGGAAACAATAATCTCACTGTATTTCTCCTTACCAAAAAGCAGTGAGGTGATGCCAGACTTCTTGTGCTGTGTCCTGCGGCGCACAATCTGAGTGAAGCAGACAAACAGGGTACAGAAGGAAATGGTATTACCAACCGGCAATGTTCAGTTCAGTACGGCAAAACAGATTTTGATGGCAGCTTATATTAGTGGAGTGAAAAAAGAAAAGCCAGATGCAAAGAGTGCTTTCTTTAATGAGGAACCTTGGTCTATGATTTACTCTCAAGACCGCTACCACATGGCAAGAAATGAAGGCAACAGAAGGGAAACCAAGGCTGAGGAAAACGACAAGAAAAGAATCATTAGGAATTCAGGATCATTTGCACACATACCTTCGATAAGCTAACAGCCGCACCAGGGTTGAGTAGCTGACCCTGGTCTGCAATGAGGTACGCAAGGTGTTTGCAACGTTGAGTCTCTACGGCCATATCTGTTAGTGAGCCAGCAACCCGCATAGCTTCCTGAAGGAGCACATCTGGATCTTCAATCTGAGAAGGTATGTCTGAGAGGGTATTGAAGATGGATGCAGAGTTTTCTGACTGGATCAGTTCATCTTCCTGTGTTCATGGGGACAAATAATTCTGTAAATTATAGGTCACACACTCTGGAATGCTTCTGCACTCCCCCTTGCCCTACTCCTTGCATTTCCTACTATCTAATGCTAATTACACAGAAAATGCAGTAAAAGTAAAACAAAATGTATGCTGTCATTACTCCCCCTCCAGGCCAACTGCTGCGTCCACTCATCGGCTATCCCAGAGTGCCTGCACCGGAATTGGTAAGGACATGCTAAGCAGCTGCTTTCTGCTTGGAGAACAAAAATCATTATTCAAAATCACCTACACTGCTCCTTTAATGACGGTCCCCCTAAGAGTCTGAAAGCCCCTTCTAGGAAACGGTAGGTGTAGAAATCCTATATAAAGAGGAGCTGTTTCTGCAGAAAATACAGCAGGAAGTGTAATCGAGAACTAGCAATTTCCAAAGTAGGAGCTTTGTTAGTCTGTTTCAGCATGTTGGCAAAAGAAAAGGGGGAACAGAAAACAGCAGCAAAATATTACAGCACTTCAAAAACTACAGTATTAGTTTAATTTCAGGGTGAGCATTCATGGATCAAATACTACGTCTTCCATGAAAGCTCATACTGAAATAAAATTGTTTGCCTTGAAAGTGCTGTAATATTCCCACCCCCACTCCAGCAAAAACACACAAATTCTTTTCCTTTGCCAACATCATGAACTAGGTAAATAGCTGACACAACATAGGAAATGGACAGGAAAGTTCTCAGGGCTCCAATCAATTTTTTTTACCAAAATTTCCCTAGTTGTAATCTAAACAAATCTCATAATGCTACATAGGATTTTAGCCACCTTTGAATGGAATATGGCAGCCATTTTGCACCAAAACCATAGCATTAGATGGCCAAACAAACACTTTTTGCACAAAAGGCTCCTTAAGGCTGCAGTTCTATGTATATTTCACTGCATTCAGTAGATTCTCATTGGATTCAAGAGTTCGGAGGAGACATGCATAGGATGATATAATCGAAACAGTTATTTGGTCCTTATGGAAACTGTCCGCTATAAGGCCACCCACTGAGTCATCTTCATGACTGCTTGTTGGCTTTGTAACTACAGTGGGGTCTCGACTTACGAACTTAATCCGTATTGGAAGGCAGTTCTCAGGTCGAAAAGTTCTTAAGTCGAATCTGCATTTCCCATAGGAATGCATTGAAATCCATTTAATCCGTATCTGCTCTTTTTGTCCATAGAAACTAATGGGAAGCTGCTATTCCGCCTTCTGCCACTAGAGGGGGATATTTTTTTCTTTTTTCCCTCTAACCTAAGATGACTTAGCTTTAAAAAAAGGGGAAAAAAGAGTTCGTAACTCGAATCTAAGTTCGTAAGTCGAGTCCATATATTCCTATGAGAGCGGTTCGTAAGTCGAAATGTTCGTATGTCGAGCCGTTCGTAAGTCGAGACCCCACTGTATATTACGACAGTGATAATATTTTCAGGCAGTGGTTAAGTAAAACCTTGGGTACTGATCCCACAGATATGGTGACCCTACTGTATACTGAAAAATAAGTATTTGTTTCAAATATGTAATTAAAACATACAGTCTATATAGCTCCCCCTTCTCCAAACACCTCCAGATGTTGAGGAGAACACATGTAAGACTTATCCCATGAGAGAAAACACATTCTTTTGGTAGAGAAGGAATGTTAACTACCTTCATGCTGAGCATACCCAGTGTGACCTGGAAGAGAACAATGGAGCCCTGATAGAAGAAGAGGTCCCAGATGCGTAACAACAGCTTGATATGCACAACACTAGCAAATGATGTGAGGAACCAGTGCAGGGTGATCAAGGACAGCTCTATGGATGGAGACAGAGATGAAAGCACACAGTCTTAGCTGAGCAATTACTTGTATGAGAAAGAATTCACCTCCTACTTATTCCATGAAGACACTTCCCACTGCCAATGTAAGCAGAAAATGCTCACAATGCTTTCTTGAAAAATACGACAGCACTATCACAATCACTGTAAACAGTAGAAGCAAATACTGGCCCCTTCTCTATTTCACTTGGTGGTGCTAGCCACAGAGCAAATGTATACGTTCAAGGTGCAGGGTGTTCATAAATTCACTCAAACAAAATCAGAGCACCAGCCATGAGCAGATTAAACACAGCAAGTCTGTTTATAAACAGAGGGCAAATCTGCAAGATGCTTCACATTTCTGAGTGAGTGAGGTACATGTGTGCATGTACATAATGTCTTGGATCATTTTAAACGGGACTAGCTTTAAAGCAGATTAGATGCATTCCTGTTAACACAGCCGTCCAGGAAGTCAGGTAGTAGTCGTTCACATCACTTGCTACTTGATTGTTTTTCAAAAGGAGATGCAAGGGACTGAACCTAAGACATTGTGTCTAAATATATGTGCTCTGCCATTCTGAAACTGCTGTCCCTAATTGGACCTTTTTTGGGTTTTTTCCTTTTTTCTTTTGAAGGGACAAAAGGACACTGCAATCTCCTCCACAGCCCTGTAAGCAATGGAGGTCTATTACCAATGTCATGCTCCTGGAGAAGTTTGTCCAGTCTTGGCAGATACTGCACAATGAGATGGCGCAGAACACGTTGATCTGTCTGGACACCCATCAGGGTGGTGCTGAAGTAGGAGGCTGGCACCAGGTCTTCAATGATGGCACACATCATCCAGAAGGCATCTTCCTCTTCCAAGAAGAGAAGCAAGGAAGCCACAACCTAGGTGGAGGGAAGCAAAGACTTGAAAACAAGCTGCAAGGTAAGTATGACACAGAGTCCTGTGATTTCCCATTGTAGGGCACAGGAAGGTTGATGAGAATCCCCCAATCCCTGGGGTTCTAACAACAGGGTTGGAAAGCATTATGGTATTTGCAAAACTGAGGATCAGATCAATCACTGGTTGTGGTGCTAGGCTGGGGTGCCAGAAAAATGGAACATGCATATTCCCTCTGTGGGTTAGCTAGTATCTTGCGCAGAAGGGGGACTTCCAGTGTCTCACTCAAAAAGGTCTAAATGGGATTGTAGAGAGTACAGGCTTGGGTCAGTTTCAAAATACCCCGGAATATATTAATCAATGCACATGAGGTAAAGGTAATTCACAAGTTTTTGCAGAGCCCCACCCCCTTCCGGCCTCTGTTTCATTCCTACCCAGAGACCTCAAAGCAAAGCACAACTCTGGATGACTAAATCAATACTGTTATATTAACTTGCAGTGAAAGGGCATGTGGTGGGATGGTAGTTATTATTATTATATTGATTAATTAAGTCTGCCTAACTCTAACCTTGGCTTCTGCTAGTTCTAAAGTGTAATCCCTCTGTCCAAATTTTTGTTTGGGGACAGTATACATTTTGGAGCTAAAATAATCATTTGCATTTGTATCCTTTTTTCGTTTGTCGATACACATTTAGTAAAGTCTGTTAAGTCTTGAACTGGAAGTCTGCTTACAGGTTTAGTGTAGCATTTTTATTGTCAAATAAAATTTCATATTGTCCTCTTTTTCATATCGGATTTGTGTTTGCACAATAATGTTAGTGGCTTTTGGCTTCCTTTTAGGAAGAAGTGGAGTTTTAAGATGTGAAGATGACCAGAAGCTTTTAATGTGCTTGCCAAAAACATGTAGGATGTCTCACTAAATGAGTGAGTGAACATCAGGTCAGGTCACCATTTCCTATTGGGCCACTGAGGAACCCATCCGTAGTGGCTCTTGCTGGGACTGTGGACATCCTCCAAGATAGCAGGGTGGATATCCTTGCAATAAACCAGCTTATGAGTTATAGATGGAGGTTAGAAAACGGACCACACCAATGTTATATTTGGTAGCAATCCCATAGCTGGAGCAAAGCTAGAGTAATGTTTCATACATTTTCCTGCACGTTTGATCGCTGTCTATGAAAAGAACCCACTTTCTTTGTTCCAATGCATTGACAAAAACTGTATGTTGCTGCCTTTACTGCTACCTGTGAACATCCACTTTGTTCGCCTCCTGTGGACAGGTCGCCAAACGAATTAGCTACAATACACAGTAAAGCCTACAAATGGAAAAGATTAATTTACCATGCCAGTGCCTTGACAGTAGCCAATCTCTGGATACAGCCAAGCTAAACCACGTAATATTCTGCGCAGTCGTGGCACTCCAATGCTGTTCATGTTGGAGAAGCAAGCATTGCTGGGCATAGTGCGGAGCAGGTCTTTCTCAATCTATCAGACATTAAGTGTTACATATAAGCATTTTAGATTCAATTAGAGATAAGGCTTCCCATCTTGTTGTTCTTAATCTAAATCCCAGAGCACACAATACTTTCTACATCCTGATAAAGCAAGACTGAATTTAGAGACCTCCAATATCAGCATGGAAGCCTGACAAAAGAGTGTACGATTTTCATCCATTTAGTAATTCCTTCCCTGCATTCAGAGGTAAACTGCCCAAGGTGTAAGAGAGCTGGCACTAATCTACAAAAATTACCCACTTGTTTGGCAGCAATGGTTTCGTCATTTGAGCTGTTCTTCACAATTTCTCGGTAAGACATTTCTGTATTTCTCTTCTTCTGCAGAGCACCTGACAGCCGCATCCACAGCTGAGGAAAACAGAGGAAAGGGGTTAGCACAGGAAACTTAAGCAGTCAGCTGCTCTCTCTCCATTTCTAGCCAGGAGAACCCTCACCTGTGGTCTCATGCTGTGAGGAATGCCAGCCAATACCAGAGATCGCAGCTTGTCTGAACGTGGAAGTGTGACTTCAATCTTATCCCAAGTTAAGTCCCCCACATCATGGTTGTGTGTGAACTCCAAGTGAGCCTGCCATTTCAGCCTCTGTTGTGGCTCTTCAGTCAGTGGGATGCCCAAGAGCTTGCTGGAATTTGGCTCAGCACCATCTGGAGCAAAAAGCACACATTATAGAGTTATGGGAAGAAAAGAGTATGGTGGCCATTGCCTTATACATCTAGAAAATATGATCCTTTAAATAGTTACATTCTACACCCAGGAGAAACAGGAAGCAATCTTTGGACTGGAGTGGGTACCTGGAGCTGTAAAATTGCTAGAGGACTACAACTCCTATGACTCATGACCATTGGCTAGCAGTTGCAGCCCAACAATATCTGGAGTGCCACAATTATTCACCCAACTCTCCCTTAGAGGCTTGGCTGTGGGCTTTTTTTTAAAAAAAAAATTATCTCCTGTCTATGGTAGCTACATCTCAATTACTGCTTTCTGTGCTGTCAGCAAAAACTGGCTTCTTCAATCATGAGATCACTATGTCTAAATGCAACGCATATGCAAGCAGGAGAAAATAAATATGTTTTTTATCTGAATGTCTGTATACCTACCGGTATTTTTAAAAATTCATATGGAATACCTAAGGTGGCTCAGATCAACAGTTAAGAGCAACAGCAACCACAATTGCAAAGCCTCAAGAATACAGAAAGATGGAATTCAGGTCATCTGCCTCCCCATACTAATTCTAGCAACTGGAATCATTCCAAAATCTTTGATTTAACAATTTTTTAAAAATTGCCAAGAGCTGCTAATTTGTTTCCTGAAATTCAAACTGATTTTGGACATACAGTATATCACAGAAGTGAGTACACTCCCTCACATTTCATAAATATTTTAGTACAGTGGTGCCTCGCAAGTCTTGCGAGGTTCCCTATGCATCAGTCTCAAAAAAAAAGTCTTGCGAAGCATCGGTATAAAAAAATGACTTGTGAAGCATCAGTCTAAAAAAAAAGTCTTGCGAAGCACGGTCACAGAAAAGAAGTCTTGCGAGGCACCATAGTGATCGCAAAAACCAATCGTCTTGTGGGTTTTTCGTCCCACAAGGCAATCGTCTAGCGAGGCACTACTGTATATCTTTTCATGTGAAAACACTGAAGAAATGGCACTTGGTTACAATGTAAAGCAGCGAGTATACAGCTTGTATAACAGTGTAAATGTGTTGTCCTCCCAAAATAACGCAACACACAGCCATTAATGTCTAAACCACTGGCAACAAAAGTGAGACTGGGAAAATCACTCTTTTGGACTACAGTTCCTAGAATCCTCCAACTACCATGGTCACTTCTGGAACCTGTAATCTAAAAAAGTAATTTTTCAAACTTATCAGCTGGGAGGGAGCAGAGGACAACATGTAGCTACAAAATCCTACATGATGGTGGTTCAAATCCATTATGCATGCAAATTTTGTCAAAGTGTATACAAATTGCAGCTTTAAAATATATGTGAGCAAAACTTCAAACTTCTCCTGATTATTACTTGTATATGTTTCAAAAGGAAAAACTGACTTTTACCTATGCATATATCCCTCATTATTGTCATTATATGAAATCATACATATTAGCTTTCAAAACACAATCCTAAACAAGAATTGGAACAGTTCTTTTGGGAATGAACGACTTCTGAGAGAGATCTCAGAAACACAGAATCGTGAGTACAACCACACAAATAAAGACCTTGCCTTCTCTGTCTACTCGGAAACCAAATTCATCATATCGGAATTCTGGTTGCTCAACAGATTCTTCTTTCTGGAAAATAAAACAGAAGGAACCTGTCTTTTTCTTTTTTCTGTCACTAGCTGGTACATTAATGAAATACAACACTTTTCCATGTGACAGACAACTTTGCCTCTAACTTTTTTCCCTCTGGATCTTTAAGAGGGAAAAATCAATCCCCCATTGCTAGAAACCAATCTATAGTAATGTATAGTCTGAAATTAAGAGCTCAAAAATCTGCAATATCCAGATATGTTATCCCAGCAGACTTTCATGTATGAACAATTACACTTGCAAACAAAACTTGTGTTTACATCCAAAAAGCTATTACAAAACAAAAAGGGCTGATTCGCAAACTGCAAAGGATGGCACATTCTCAGTACTTAAGGAATTATTCCTTCTAATCATGAGTAATATGTCATGTGGCTGGCTGGACAGTTGAAAGAGATGGAGCACCTAACTGTGGAGCCAGGGTCCAGCGTTTGGTTAACCACTGTGCCTTCTAGGAGAAGAGCGAGTCTCTGTGGTCTTGGGCAAGCTCTCTGATCCCAGAGAACACGGAGAAGAAAGGACTGGTAAACCACTTCCAAGTACTCTATAGTTAGAAAACATGGAAAAGGCTTCCATACGTCAGAATCAATTTGACAGCAGATTATTATTATGCAGTGTACAGTTTGGCCCCCAAAATAAGTAAAGGAGCACTCTAAGCTATTCTGTTACAGCTCCTCAGATGTGTAACTCAACACAGTAAATCAAGGACAAAAGAAACTTCCTTCAACACTATAATTGTTCTCACATCTTGTTTCACCCAATCAGAATGGCTATTATGAAAAGGGTATCTAAAATATTCAAAGTGTCATTAAAATATTTGACAGTGGTAACTGGAAAAATAATCTGATTCAAATACTAAGTAAATTTTAAAGGGCATGCATAACATTCTGATTTATGGCAAATATGCTTGTATTTTGTTTTATTCTTCCTCTGCCCACTATGCAACAGGCTTTCTATCAGTTTTTCTCACAACAAAAATTATTTGTTAGAGGGTTAAAAGTAATGTTTCTTCAATACACAACCAGCAGTTAAAATGTGTGTATGTCTCGAGCCTGTCTTGTATTTGAACTGGTAAGGGCAACACTGCAGGCAGTCAAGTGCATAGAATTTTACACAAATGGCAGACTGCTCTACTCCTTGTTCTGTGCCCTGCATAAGAAAAAAACCACGACAAGAGGTGGCCCAACACAGAAAGGCAGCAAGCTCCTGCAAGAGAAACACAGCCCTCTATCCCTTCACTGCCAGTCCACAAGTTAGTAACATGTTTTGCAGGCTATTAACTTATATGTACAGTGCGGTCTTGACTTAAGAACTTAATCCGTATTAGAAGGTGGTTCTCAAGTCGAAAAGTTCTTAAGTCGAATCTGCATTTCCCATAGGAATGCATTGAAAACCATTTAATCCGTATCTGCTCTTTTCTGTCCATAGAAACTAATGGGAAGCTGCTATTCTGCCTTCTGCCACTAGAGGGGGATATTTTCTTTCTTTTTTTCCCCTTAGGTTCAGGGAAGGCATGGAACACTAAAGGCAGCACTTTGTGTGTTTAGTCGTTTAGTCGTGTCCGACTCTTCGTGACCCCATGGACCAGAGCACGCCAGGCCCTCCTGTCTTCTACTGCCTCCCGGAGTTGTGTCAGGTTCATGTTGGTTGCTTCGCAGACACTGTCCAGCCATCTCATCTTTGGTCGTCCCCTTCTCCTCTTGCCATCACACCTTCCTAACATCAAGGTTTTTTCCAAGGACTCTTTTCTTCTCATGAGATGGCCAAAGTACTGGAGCCTCAGCTTCAGGATCTGTCCTTCAAGTGAGCATTCAGGGTTGATTTCCTTTAGAACTGATAGGTTTGTTCTCCTTGCAGTCCAGGGGATTCTCAAGAGCCTCCTCCAGCACCACAATTCAAAGGCAGCACTTTAGAACTCTTTTTTTTAAAAAACGAAGCCAATTTTAAATAATGTTTTAAAGCATGTTGTGCTGATTTTTTCAGCACAAAGGCACTCAGGCAGGCTTTTTAGGTGCTGAGCAAGCCTCCAGAAGCCTGCTCAGAGCCAGCCGATCAGCTGTTAGGCGAGGAGCGGGGAAAACCACAAAATGGCTGCCAGGCTCTTTCTGGGTGTTGGCTTTTAGCTCTTTCCTGCTCTTTTTCCTGTGGTTTGGGGGCTACCAAGGCCTGGTAAGTGACTTTATTTAACAGTACAGTATTTATTTTTAAGTTTCTGACCCTTTTCCCCCCTCCAGAAGCCTCTAAGGGGAGGGAGGGGGGACTTTTTTCCCTGTTCGTAACTCGAGGGAAGTTCTCATGTCGAGTCCTTACTTTCCCTATAGGGCAGGTTCGTAACTCGAATTGTTCGCAAGTCAGGTCGTTCGTAAGTCGAGACCCCACTGTAAGTGTTTGCATTCATAATTCACATAGCCCTTTAGGATTTGTTATTACATCATGTTATGTGCTATTAAGTTGAATCTGACTTACAGCAGCCCTAACAGGGTTTCAAGGTAGGTCCCATGAGTCCTAGTCTAACACTCTATTCACTATGGCACATTGATTCTCCAGCAAATTATAATTTATAATTAGTAGTATTGCATTAATATTAACTGCACAAATATACTACTACTACTACTACCTCATCATCATCATCAAAAACTGATTTGGTACATATATAACTGATCATCCCCCTTGTTTTATTGTACCTGGGTATACTTTGCGAGGATTTCCTGAGGCCATATGCTTGGAGTAAGTGCAGAAAAGGGCCCACCAGCAGTAGGAGTACAAGTTCCTAAATGGAACAACAACACAAACGTGTATAATAACAGACAGAAAAGCCACAAAACCATGGTAGCTATTTGTTAATCCTAAATCACTTTATGAGTCTATCTAAATGGCATTATTTATTTCTCTTTCTCCCAAGCCTGTTTCTGGGTTAGTGCTAGAACTTCCTAGCCCGGCTTCCTCCAGCGGCTGCCCACTCAAAAGCAGTGCCTGGAGGAGGCAGGGCTAGGAAGCCGGGGAGCCCATGCAAGAAGCTGTGCGGCTAAACCGCTGAAATGCAGCATGGCAGTTCGGCCTTTCTCCAGAGGTTACCAGAAAATAAACTGCGGGGACTTCTAGGAAAATATCTAGGAACGCAAATCTCTTCTTCCTATGCAAGAAGAAACTGCAAATTTTCTTTCTCCATCCTGCAAGTGATCAAGATGTTTTGTGCATTCTTTTCATGCAGATAAAGTGGTTTTGCACCAATCTGCCTAAATACGATTAACACAAATTAAGCAACTGATGGCTGCTACTCTGTGGAATTCTAAGAACAGAAACATTGGAGGGATGGCTTGTGTCTTTTTTAAAAAATCCCTCAGTTGTTCTGTCTCTCCTCTGTGTGCGTTTTGGTTCTCAAAGGAAAATTATTAAGTTTGCAAACAGTCAGTGCAAACTACAAACAAAACTTAGCACTCCTCCACTGCAAGCAAGGAATCTTGTATAACTTAAACTGTTTCTTGACATATCCCACAGAGCCAAGATAGCCTAAATTGACAAAAATAAATAATACAGCATGCATTCCTTGCATCCCTATTATTTCCTAACTAAGAACAGAAATATGGAATAACTCAATATAAATACGGCACATAAATTGAAGGACTCTGACAACTGTGCACCAATGCCTTTACAAATTAACTTGCATCATAAAAAATTTAATGTTCTACAAGCAGAGATCAACATTGACATGTCCCCTATTCATTTTCTTTGTATTGTACTTTTCTCCCAATAGAAGCACCATTGGCATTTACCAAACACTCATGTTAAGGCCATTAAAATAAAATTTAAAAAACCCACAATATTTCCAAAATTAAGTATATTGCACATTAAAACTACTGAATAAAAACTTAAAAGGTCATTAAAAAGATATGACAACCCCATTAAAAAAAACTTTCTTGGCAGCTAACTGCTTACTATAAGTCTACTTTCAAGAAAGTGTTTGCCTACCAGCAGAACAACAATGGGGTGGGGGGTTGAGCTGCTAGCCTGGTGTCCAATGGAAAGGAGTCCCATAGCCTGGGAAGGGACATCAAGAAGATCTGCCCCATGTTCTCACCACATGCACCTCTACAGATGGTGGGATTGAAAGAAAGACCCCCCATAAAATCTTGAAACGCTGGGGATTCATGTGTCACATTTACTCAACTAATAGTATAAAATGGCATCCAGACAGCTCAAGACACCTTTTATAGGAAATGACGCACTTCTTTCCCATCACTTACACTGACCTGAGGGGCAAAAGCTTCACTGCACAGAGTAAAAAAACATGGACCCCAAAACTGAGACCAGTTAGAATATTTTAGTCTCTGGCATACATCAGCCACATCAAAAATCCTGTTCCACTTTTGGTTATAAAACAACTCCAAACTGAGACAGAGATGACTTTCTCTAATCCAAGTGGATGAAACTGTGGTATTCTACACTTCTCAGATATGCTGAGAAAGTCTTTTTCCAAGGCTGACACATTTCAGAAAATACACAATTATAGTATTCCCTCCTTTGCTTTCATTTTCTCCAGGAAGGAAATGGGGGAGGGGAGGTAACATGAGTAAAACGACTGAACAATTTTGGTACAGTAACTCTGTCATAATACAGACTTTTCAATTTAATTAAAGGAGAACTTCACAGTCTGTGCTATTTGACTACTTTAAATCTGTGGATCTAGGAGTTGGCAGAACAATGAAGAACATGTTTGCTCAACACACAATTAATTCCTTAGATCCAAGGAGTTTAGTCTCACATTCAGTGAGATCAAGTTCCAACTGACTGCTTTCCTAGCCTTGTATGCCTGTATTTCCAGTTATTACTAATGGATGTGAAAGCTAGATAGTGAAGAAAACAACAGGAAAAGAAATTGATTCCTTCAAATTATGGGGCTGGGCAAGAGCTTTGCAGATACCCTGGACCACCAAAAATACAAACAAGTGCGTCCTCTATCAAATCAAGCCTAAATTTTCTCTGGAAAGCAAAAAAGGTAAAAATTAAGGTTGCCATACTTGAGGACATTATGAGAAGACAGGACTTGCTGAAAAAGACAGTCATGCTAAGAAAAGTTGAAGGCAGCAGGAAAAGCAAGTATGAAATGGATTGACTCCACAAAGAAAACCACAACCTTGATTTTACGAGAACTGAGAGTTGAGGACAGGACGTTTTGCAAGTCACTCATTCATAAGGTCACCATAACTTGGGAGGAATCTTGGTGGCATTTAATAAGAACAATGACTTGAGAGTTTAAGCAATTCAGCTAAATATTCGGGATAAAAAATATGCCAATAAATGGCTGTTCTCTATAAAAGCATTATTTAAAATACAGTATTCTAAAACAGAGGAGTTAAGTTGAAAGGCAAACCATGTGAGGAAACATACTGAAAAACACAATTTTGAAAATCAGGCTCTTGAAAAGTATGGCAAAGCAAGTTGATCAATTAAGACTTGAGCTCCTTCTGAGCTGGCAGGTCCTCAGGCACAGTTACAACTAGGTGAAGCTTTTCAGGGAGTATGTTTTGTTAAAATCATTGTTCCAAAAGCTGGCGTAGGAAGACAAATTTCTTTCACTGTTAAATATTTAACTTGTTTTATTTGTTAGCATAAAGGTAGAGGTATGCAAAGAATTAAAGGAAAAAGCCATTACATTATACAAGATGGCTGGGGTAAGTTTGATTCCACACTGTGCCTCCTATGAGAAAAGCCAGCCTGTGGGGCCTCAGGCAAGCTGCACCACCCCAGGGTACCCCCAGAAGAAGGCACTGGTAAACCACTTCTGTGTATTCTCTAACTAGAAAAATCTGGAAAGGGTAACCATAGCTCAGCATCATTATGGCATGCAACAATAACAACAACAAGAAGAAGTAAATCCTAGTTCTTTATCTAAAACCTGTATTTTAAAATTTAAACCAGTTTTTAAGGATTAAAGAATAAGGATTTTAAATGCTATATTATGAGACAATGTACTCAAAAGACAAAACTCTCTTCCTTACAATTATATGAATAGCTTATATAATATATATTTTAAAGTTATTATCCCTATCCCTGACTGAGAAACTAAACAATAAATAAAAATTCCAATCTAAAGGACAAAAGAGTTAATTTCATCTAATTAAGGAGGCATGTATAATCATCATACACAGATGATTTTTTTCAAGCTGTAAAGCTCAGTAAAAGTAGGAATAGCATTAAAAATACAGTATCACAATTAGCAATTTAGCATAATGTGCTTACCAGACATGATGATGGTAGAACGTGTTCAATTGCAGCTTGTTGATTCTCCAACAGGTCACTGCCCTGTATAAGACAGAGCTGGGCACAATGACACAAAGGATAAAACTTTAAACCTATACAAAGAACTGGACAATGTAGCTTTTCAGTTGTATTATGGAGTAGTTCTCCACTTATACAACATACTAACAAACTTTAGCCTCCCTACATAATAGTTCAGAAGTCATTCAGGTGGGTTAAGCAGTGTTTAAGCATAAGGCCATCAACGTCAAAGAGTGACAGTCAAAAGAGCAGATTTGGCACATCCAGTTTCAAGGGCAGTTTCTAAACTGAAATGTCCACAGGATAATAAAATATCCTTTACAAAAGTGATTGTGGTTTGTGGGTTCAGCAGGATCTGCTGAAGAAGCCAGGAATTCTCTGGCCAAGCAATAAATGCAGATTATAATTTGTCTCAAACAACAGACCAGATCACTGTCCTAGCACTTAACCCATAAATTGTGTAGATTTCACCATTGTCATTTAAGATTTAACAGCATTTAGGTAAAAGTCTGAGTTTCTATATTGGATTTCCCAAAACTAAACGTCAAAGTTGAAATAGCTAGTGAACTGGCTGGACAGCTTGGGTGATTTAAGTATATGGCTGCAAAGCGACACAGGCTGGGAGTTCAGGTCCCCATTGTGCCTCCTGTGAGTAGAGCCAGCTTGTGTGGCCATGGGCAAGATGCACAGGTCGCCCCCAGAAGAAGGGAATGGTAAACTACTTCTGAGTATTCTCTACCTGGGAAACCCTGAAAAAAGTCACCATAACTCAGAAGTGACTTGGTGGCACAGAAATATCTATTATTTATTTTAAAAAGGGAAGAGATTTCCTATATGTTTCCTTTGGCAGTGATTTTGTAGCTTATGCTACAAAACGTGAATACAGTACAAACCTGATATAGTAGACCTTAGCGTCTCGTTGCTTGCTGCTCTTCCAGGGCAACATCAGACATTGCTGGGACAGAAACGGCTCAAGGTTTTAAGATGGTGGTAACTCTAGAAAACATGATAAATAGTCCCTCACAAAGTTGAGCAGTAACACATTTATTGTTTGTTAACTGGTAACTTGTTCTAATAGGAACAGTTGCCAAGTCAAGAATATATCCAGGCTTCACAGCAAAGCTGTTATGCACTTTCTCCTGTCTGGATTTGTCATGTGACACTTCCATTGTGAGCGCTGGCAAGAGAAGAAAGAAAGAAGTACCGTGTCTTTGGGAGTTGCATTTCCTCACAGTCTGACGACACTATCATATGTTTGGTTATGAAGAGACCTGGATTTCAGTCTCTGGTTATGAAGAGACGTACATGTTGTGGGGCAGATGCTCATTTTCAGTGTTGATGCCCACTTTTCAGATGGAATATGTAAAATATTTATTCCAAGAGGAAAGCTCGGTAACAATAAAATTTAGAAAAATGACTTGTACTTGGGACTCCCAGTAGCCATTTCAGCTAGAGACTGTGGCCACCTCTTTCCAATGGTCCCTTTCAGATACTTTGAACTTCAAACCCATCAGGGCCAAGTATCATACACATTTTTTTGTTTATGCCTTTCTCTAGTCTGTACCATCACCCCCATCAGGGCCAAGTATCATTCACATTTTTTATGCCTTTCTCTAGTCTGTACCATCACATGCATGACAAAGAAGTGGATATATATTTGACAGATTATTCTAATTATCAAGATCATTTCCACAGCAAAATAAGAGCAGCTGCATAGGAACAGGGTAGTTTATTAACTTGAATCATAGGCAAACAAAACAAATCTAATGTCTGATAACCAGTCCCCTGATTATCTTATATGTGCCCACAAAGCTCACTGAACATATTCATAAATAGCAAAATATAAGATACAGCAAACCAGGTGGGCAGGTTTTTCCTGTCTTGGGTTGCTATGGAGCATTCCCTGGCAACTGCCTTCAAGGCCTGACCATGAGAGGGAGGTATGCAAACACAGCATTGTGACACACTGTACTGCACAAGAGGGTGGGATGAATCAACTGGTGACCAGGAAGCTAGGAAAAGGCTTCACACTGAGGAAGCAAGCACTAATATAACCCAGTCAAAGCTCTAGGAGCTAAGCACAGATAATGCAACCTTATATTAAACTTCTTCAGGCACAGCTATTCTGTTCTTTAGGATTATATTCCTAGACTTAAAAACACGTTAGTGATTTTCATTAAGTCTTCTAAATATTTCACAGTGATTTTCCAAAGTAAAACACACAGTACGTCCACTCCAGTATCTGCAAAAATAAATCTGAGGGCATTCAAGTACAAATGCTGGATATTAATGCCAACGCCTCTCTGCTGATCTCTGTGCTATCACATCACCAAATATGCTGCCACAATGGCAGTGCAATCAGATAAATAAGAGCTCAAAGCAACTAATAATCCTCAGATAATTAGATGAGCTGCAAAGACCTATACTCTTCAATGCAACAGGAAGGAAATTATGCATATCAATACCATAGGTGATGAACATTTGTTCTAAACCATCCATCAATCCAACTCTGAAGTGATCACAGAACATTCCGTTTTTATGCTGGGATTTCCCCACCAAGAGGGGCAAAGCCTGTGGAAATTGCCATGTCATTTATAACACAGTATGTTAGGGCAGATCTTCCCATCTGGGGTCATATATTTTTCTCTCCCCTTGGGGGAGTTGGGTAGGCACTCTCACAGGGACACTGATGAATTAAGTGAATACATTACTGAATGAGTTCATTTTTATTTACTGAAAATAATTTTACAGTACTTTAAAATAATAAAAGTTTAACATAACTATTTAATTAATAACATGGTGAAATCCTCAGTTCTTTGGGTGCTTCCTGAAATAAGCTAAGCCCATATAAACAATTCAAATTGTTCAATGTGATATATGGAATTTGTAAAAAGTAGTATCACATTACAAAATGTTGGGGAAGGATTTAACAACTACCAGGTCTGTAGCTGCACTTAAAGAGTTCCTGTGAGCTTGTGAAAAAGATGAGTAAACAGGTGTTGTGGTTTCCCGGTAAAGCTCCCTTCCTTAAAGCCACTCAGCCATACTGCTCTTGCTCATCTTGGGTTGGGCGTGCCCAGGGAGAGTCAGATGTGGTGAAGACTGTGGAAGTTTGACCACAACCATATCAAACCCCCCTCCCCAACACCTCTGCCTAGTCTTCTAGACTTAGAGGTGCTCCAGGGAGTTTAACACACATACAGAAAGAAATTCCCATGCCTAGGCATTGAGCATGAACATGCCAACCTTGCAAGGTGGCTGCCACCACTCTCCCCTCCCCCCCCCCACAAACTTCAAGAAATCCCAGTACGTAGCTGGTCAAGACAAAGACTGGTTTTAACTCCACAAACCTTCACAATTTAACATACAGACATCTGTGTGAAAGGATTTTTATAGTTGATTAGAAAGAAATGAAGGTGGGGAGGGAGGAAGACAATTAAAAAGAATAAAAGGGTAAAAGTTCCAAACTGTTGTTAGAAACGTTTTTTCAAAATATAGAAGCAAATGAAAAACACCCTGGACTTTTGTATGGCAGAATGGGGGGGGGGGGACAGATATATAATTGCAGTGACAACAAGGCTCTGGCTGAGCTGGAAGACAATGGACCAAGTGTGGACAGGCTACAAGGTTAGATAGGGGTGTTTTTTTTTGGGGGGGGGAGGGAGGTAGAGAGGAATTTCACTACTTTTTTCTTTTGATTTTCTGGATCAATTCTCCTGCGCATTTCCCTGCATCTTCAGAAATCTGTTCCTTGGAATACGTAGCTATATGTCTTTCTTTAGGTCAAACAACTAGAAGGCTGGTGGAAGATTAGGGGCAAATACGGTGTTTTATAAAGGGCTAACTGTGACTGATTTTGCATACCTGTAATTTCATCTGATACTTTAATGTACCATATTTTTCCATGTATAAAATGATACTTTTGTCTAAAATATTTAGATTAAAAATTGAGGGTCGTCTTATACATGGAATTAAGGAGGGGGGATCAAAGCACTTTGATTCCTGCTTTCCCCCTCCACTTTCTTCGCAAAAAATGGAGGGGGAAAGCAGGAATCATCAAAACGCTTTGATTCCTGCTTCCCCCTTCCACTTTTTGTGAGGAAAGTGGAGGGGGAAAGCACTTTCTTTGCAAGAAAGTGCAGGGGGAAAGCAGGAATCAACAACGCACTTTGATTCCTCCTTTCCCCCTCCACTTTCCTGCCAGGAAAGTGCTTTCCCCCTCCATTTTCTTTGCAAGAAAGTACAGGGGGAAAGCACTTTCCTCACAAGAAAGCAGAGGGGAAAAGCAGGAATCAAAGCACTTTGATGATTCCTGCTTTCCCCCTCCACTTTCTTGTGAGGAAAGTGCTTTTCTCCTCAAAAAGTGTTCTAGTTTTCACTTTTCATTTCATGACTGCACTGTACTATGTTAGAACTTAATTGATTTTCCCTTCATTTGCTTAATATTGGGTCTTCATTTCATGAATATTCCATGTGATTGTGATTTATTCTATTGTGATTAAAATAAATGTTCGAATTAATTGCACCTATGGATAGCTTCAGATAATCTCTGGTTACATATTTTGCCCATTGGGGCAAATAAAGGATGTCATTTTCAGTTTGATTTGGTATATAAATGTGATGTGATAGTTAAAAGCAAACAGCAATTTTGGTACAGCTGTTTAAGGCACAACACTGAAGTAGGTTGATTGTGTCTTAGTAAACAGAATCCCACATGTAATAAGCCTTTAAATAAAGCAGACTACTGTACAAAGTAAATCAGAGGACTGAGTAAACAGAATCCCACATGTAATAAGCTTTTAAATAAAGCAGACTACCGTACAAAGTAAATCAGAGGACCCTTAGGCCTTTGGAAATCATGTGACAACCTCAAGATTAACACATTTATTGTAAACTTTTGTAGACTTAGAGTTCACTTTGTCAGATGCAAAATTTTATAACTCTGGGTCACAAAATATATGCCAGCATTAGGCTGCTTGTATTTATAAAGTGCTACAGGATTATTGTTGCCGTGGTCAACTAAACAAATCTACATTTCCTGAGTTTCTGTTGTCCTTCCTTTGCCATATGCTTTGCTATGACTCATGCAAGCATGATACATTTTTAATTACATATAATTTGTAAATTTCCTCTTTTGAGGAACTGCGGTTGATGCAATGCCTGAACGCTCACTGGAATTCAGTGGTCCTTTGAATGAGCTGAGAAAATATACAATCCTCATTTTAGAACTGACCCAGAGTGCAGAATACTATCCCTTTGTCCAACCGCAAAGACCTTTTCCCATTCATCTTCTAATTCTGAAGCCAAAGAACTGAGAAAATATTTCTAGTTATTATTGAAAAGATCAATTTTTAAAGCACTAGCCCTTGGGCAATGCTTAAAAAACCCCATCAAATTCCACTTCCGGCTTGACATCGCGACGAGACAGCGTAAGGATTATCTCATTACTTCCATGAACGTACCACAAATCAATCCTCTATTTCTTTCTGAGCTACAAAATATCTCTTGAAAACCAAGGAATTAGATTACACAGTAACTTCTACTTCAGTACCAAACATAGTTTCCTTTTGTCTTGCTTCTGAAGGAAAAATACACTCAATTTGTTCAGGACATAACTGTTGCTCTTACATTCTTTGGAAGCCAGAACACTGCAACAACATATTAGTCAAATTCCTATTGGTGTAACTGTGCAGTGTAACCTGGATTGGACAGTGGAAGTAATTAAAAGCCTCCTTTAATGTCTCAACACTGCCAGCAGTGAATCTTTAGTATTAAAGTCTCCCCACCCAAGTCCTGAGGCTTCCCCAGGGCAAATGGGAGCCCTGGGGAGCCTTGGAACATAATAGCAAGAGGATGGAAGGCTTTTAGTTACTTTAAATTAAATGTTTCAGCACCTGGTCCAGGTTACACCAGTGAAAAGTTACACAACAGGATTTTGGCTAATGACGCAAAGCACAGCACTAACAATTAAACAGGATATAGAAATGGTGAAATTT